TTAGCACGTTCAGTCACATATATTGAACATAGGCCCGTTCAATCAACGATATTTTTCTCTCAAATGAGGCATATATATATATATATGTATATGTATATGTATATGTATATGTATATGTATATGTGTGTGTGTGTGTGTGTGTGTGTACAGGCCCCTTAACAAGAGGGATCTCAAAATGGGGACACCATCTTGATCGTTGGGCTGACTTTAATGAAATTGTGTGGTTGAGATTAAATCACATGCCACACAATCTTAACCACACAATTTCATTAAAGTCAAATCCAACGGTCAAGAGGATGTCCCCATGTTTTTAGAAAAATGGGAATCCCTCTTGTTAAAGGATTCCTATATATATATATAGCCCATTTATAACCAGTTATGTCTCGAGATACTAAACTTAGCTAAAAACTCATGTTTTTTTTTTTAATATACATATATTAAAATAAATGGTTAAATGGGTACCCGTTTATAACAGCGGGTAATACTCATAACTACCCATTTAAATTTCACAGGTAAACGGTTATACTCATAACCGTTTATTTATATAAACAGTTACTCATAACCATAACCGTGAGTTTTAAATGAACGGGTAACTATGGTTACCCATACCCTTGGATATTTTGCTCATCCCTAGTCATAATATATATTTTGCCAAATATAATTGCAAGTTGAGATTTTGAGGGCTTGTTTTGTTGGGATGAATCTCATATTGATGAAATGAGTGATTTTGTATGGGTTTATAAATTAGTCAAGTTACTCTCTATATATTTCCAATTAGTTTTATAGTGGAACATCAACTTTTCATTGTATCAGAGCAAGCTCCACGTCATCCCGTTTGTGTTGTTCACGTGTTAGGCTTGAAAATTTGTCATACATGATGAGGCGTGTTGAAAGTGAATCACATATTAATGGGATGAGGACCTTGCATGAGGTTATAAATAAATTGGGTTACTCCCTATATTGTTATGTAGTTTTATGGTGAAATTTCAACTTTCTTCACATTTGATGTCTAATATTGGCTTAGTTTGAATACCTCTCAATCCTACCATTTTTATGAAGATTAAGAGAATAAATTTTCTTCAGAATTTCTCCATCTTCTAACTTTATTTGAAAAAAAAATATACAAGGGCAACCAAACTTTCCTTCCTTGAGCAAGCCAAGTTAGACATGAGTGTTCTTCGTTCTCCACGCGTATTAAACAGCGTTTAGGCATGGATTGTTTGGTTCAAGTCCTCGAAAAGGCAGAAGAATAACACAAGCATGTGATACGAGAAGGGATGCCACCCACTTTATACACTATGCTACCTACCGACTGGTACGACTGTATCACTCTGTGTGTATACATATATATCACAGTTTTAGAGAGAGAGAGAGTCAGTGGTTTATACTGTTGAGTGAATGAAATGACACACCAAATTACCAAGAGCGTATCGGAACCTGATCATTTTCATTTTCGTCGTCATGGTTCTCTTAATGCTTTAATGCTGACCGAAATTCGTGTATTCTTTTCAATGATAATGGCGTTCGGTTCTTTATAGGTCTCATTCCATGGTTAGATGTTATTCTCTTCTCCTTGGGTTGATTCCTATTTATATCTAATTAATCTCCTATTTTTATACAATCCTATTCCATCACCATAATAAGCAGCATATATAATGTATGTTAGTGAAGGTGCTTGCTTTTCTTCCCTTAAACAAATATAGATTGAGATTATACGAAAACGAATATCAAAACATATATTCTTGTTTTCCTTAGACGAAGTCACCAAGATTCTAGCCGACGATGGTTGGCTTTGCTGTTAAAGTCCTTTTTTGTGCGTCGTCTCATTGAGGTTCAAGTTTTATTGTCAGCAACCTCATTGGTGTACGATATGTAAATTCATGCATAAATTTGTATCGACGACAGCTGGCAGTTAGATACCACGTACGCGTAAGTTCTTACAACTCAAGATTATGGGCATATCTTAACACTGGTGGTGAGAATAACCAATTTCCTCCTAAATTTTTCCCAACCAGAAGGTACCAAGATTCTCTTTAGTTTTTTCTTTCTTTTTTGGTGTTATTTCAGTAATTATTAGTAATTATTGCACATTATTAGACCTCATAAATGAGTTTATTTTTTTTGTTTTCAAGTCTGGGTTGAACATTTTAGTACTACAGTCTTATGTTATTTCTTTTCACTTGTAAATGAGAGGTCTTAGATTCGATTCTTGTCAAAGTCCAATTTGAACTACATAATTACTAGCCAATTGTGAGACTAAGCAATCTAAGATCATCCCCTCTCTTTAATGTAAATAATATCGTTGTTCGGAAAAGAAAAAAAAAAAAAAGCATGTTGAACACAGACTCTTTTCTTAAAGATTGACACGAAAACAACCACAATAAACTAGAGGGCATCCAAGCACAAATATGAACTTCAAAATAAACAAGTAACAGATAACATAATCCATTTCGCTTGTTAAGAATTATACTGTAAATTCATTTTTTTAACAAAGAATAAAAGTTAATACATAAGAAACATATATTCAAAGAAAATGTCCAGAATATATAATCAATAGCATAAACATATAATAGGATACAATAACTTAATTTATTAAATGGTTACTAACGAATTTTGCGTGTTAAAACAAACATGATCCATTTCTAAACGGATCCATCCGCTTGTCAACATAATTCATTAAGGCTCAAAACACCGAATTTTTCGTGCATGTTAGTGTCATGTTAACCAATCATAAATGATTTTCCCAAATCTAACGTAAAACAACATATAATTGTGGTAAAAATTCGATACTAGATGGTGCTTACTACGAGTGAGTTAAATATACAAAGAAAAAGCAAAATAAATATATCAATTTGTCTGACAATACCGATTAGAAAACATTTCTCCGCGTACATCAAGGTACGACGGTATTGCCCTATCGATCGTATCGGGGCCAAGCTATAGTTGGTGGGATTATTTTTTAAGCAGCAAAGCATATACAACTTTTCTTTAGCACGAAATTAAGGAAGCCAATTCTTGAACATCATCCAAATGCAACAAAAGATTAACACGATGACATTTTCAAAGTTACTAAATTATAAAAACTTTTAAAATGATGATAAAGTAAAAGTTTAATTAATTAAGCAAATTACACGGCCGAATTAGGGTAGAGAAACGTGACTGAAACCCTATCTGTGGAATAAAACTGATGCGCCACAAGCTTATGTCTCCAAAAGCAATTCTCCTGTGGCCACAATCCTATGTTCTTAAACCATATTATATAGCAAAATTAGAAAATTAGTAGTATATGCTTCTATGACTTTGACTTTGGATATATCTTGAGTCCTGATCACTTTATGCCGAACTTCTCGACATGCTCAACTGATGATTTTAGAGAACCATCCATTGGCTATTTTGATTACAAGCTTGCAAAGCAACTACTTAAAAGCAAGGGACAAAATACCATGCATACCTAACTTGGAGGCCCTAAATATATAAAATAATGCATAACAACGTGAGAGTACTGGAGAGTTAATTTCACCTAATTTTTTAATATATTTTATTTAAATATATAAAATAATATATAGCAATTTAAGAGTATCACGGAATACCTTGAAGGCTTGAAGACATTGTGTGACTTCTCATCCCATACGTAATATGAATGCATGGGTACCGTAACCCGTACTGGTTAATATCTACACATAGTAGACTGTAGAGGTGCCTGATGATTTTCACTTCACAAAGGATTTGAAGATTACTAATTGGAGGGGTTCAGGGTAGTAACTAATTGGGATGCTGACTTGAATGAGACTGTGTTTGGGTTTCAAGATTGGATTTGGGGTCACATGCAACTTAGAAATCCCATACGGCCGAAGTAACTGTTTTGGCAACTTTAAAATCAGTTTTTCCAAAATGAAAAATATTTCTGCACGGAATTTGGAGAAACCAAAGTTCCACCAAAATAGATGAGACTAATTCAATTGCCCACTGTGTTGAGAGTGAATCCCATAGAAGAGAAGGGAGATCCTTGATGCAGCAGGACATTTGATAAGAGAAATCGAACGAAATCTCAACGCTAGAATCCACTGTCAAGCTGTAGAGTTCACTACGAAATAGAGAGAAAACTCATGTTTATTAAGTAGTTGTTGAAATATTACAAACCTAAGTCCAAGACGACCTATTTATAAAGTAACTTGACCCTAACATCAAGTATCGTAAATCTCGTCATTCGCTTCAAATCCATATATCACAAGCCCAAAAATGACACACCAAATCAAAATTGCATTAATTCAAACAACACGAATAGTTCAAAACATTTATTTTTTAAATATGACAACAGCAAATAATATATTAGCCCTTGAATTTCCAATTCTTCGATCACTTTGGTTGATTAAATGTCACTTTTTCCGTCAAATTTTATTGCATGTAAAATAATCCAATCACTTTGGTAGAAACCTAATTTTCTTCGCACTATAACTATATTAAGCCAAAACTTATATGGTGACATGACATGGTGACTAGCGAAGAACTTGCCATTGATACATCAAAGCCCATGACCCAGCCCAAACCCGACTCTAAAAACCGTATCCGAGGACTATTTCAAACACAATCTAATGGAAACAGAGAAATAAATAACAAGTGATGCATTATATTATGCTTTATTTCTCATTTGTATCTTTGCCAAGCAATTATTTTGATGAATGCGTTCATATAATATGAATATATAGCTTTAAATATTAAGGGCAAAATAATAATAATAATAATAATAATAACCATGAATTCTTAAGACGAGACGAAACACATTCTAATGTGAAAAGACTAAAAAAAAAAGATTTTGAGCTATGTTCGGGGTTAATGGTTTATTTTAAAATGATAGCGGCATTCACACATCAATTATTATCTCGCACATTCTTATTAATTTCTGTTCATTAATTATCTTCAATTCATTCTATCTGATGACAAAAAATTAAAAGAGGTTTGTGAGAAGTATAAAATGCTAAGGGAATACCGCTACCCTTTAAAAAAACAAGAAAATATTGAGCTGTGTTTGGGTTAAGGGTTTTTTTCAATAGTCGTGTCCGCAATCTCTACGTAATAACACACACCCGCCAAACACAACCCAAACCTCGTTTAAGTCCTTCGCACCCGTTTTGCAGTTAAGAAAAACCCGCCAACGAACAACGGTAACATCTTCTTCTCCTTTGATCATATACCTATATACGTAATATAATCAATTATTGTATTACAATATTATCTTCCTAACACAATTAAAATTCAGAATCTAATTTTTGTCAAAGCCCACAACTTTTACAAGAACTGTAATCACTTCAAGTTTATGCATATTACGTGTTTGACGAAATGCCTAAGTAGTTTTGAATCGACTTTGAATCGTCAAATGAGTATGTAATTTGTTTGAAAGTGATCAAGGAATGGATGTGGCACATTGTAATTTGGAGGGCAATGCCGATGCCGTAGAGTTTTGCCCGCACGATTCATACCGCCATGTTCTGGCAGCTTCAACGTACACGCTGCGAGAGGGTGAACGACCGATCCGAGCTGGAAGTATATCGCTTTTCAACGTTGGTGCTGACTTGGGTCGGCTTGATTTGTTTCAGCGGATTGAAACGGCAGGGATTTTCGATATAAAGTGGAACCCAGTTGGAGACAGCGTGAGTCCTCTTCTTGCTCTAGCCGACGCTGATGGTTACTTGAGAATTCACGGTCTGGAATCCTGCTCGGATGAAGCACAAGGTATGGAGTGCTTATGTGTTCCTTGAGTTGTAAGCAATGAAAATATTTTAGCTTTTTCAATATGATCACTGTTATGAAATTTTGGTGCAGGGTTTTCTTTGAGGAAGATAACTGATGAAAAGATCAGTTCATCCATGTGCCTTTTCCTGGATTGGAACCCTTCAGCCACTTCTATCACCGTGGGGCTTTCGAATGGTTCAGTCGTGATAGCTTCAATTGGGGAATCCCAAATTGAGACACAAGAAACATGGAAAGCGCACGATTTTGAGGTTTGGACAGCTTCCTATGATATCCACCAGCCCCAGTTGGTGTACAGTGGTTCAGATGACTGCAAATTCAAATGCTGGGATTTGCGAGATGGTCCTTCGAAGTTGGCGTTTCAGAACACCAAGGCCCATACAATGGGAGTTTGCTGCATAGCCAAAAATCCCTACGATTCGAATAGTGTAGTTACTGGCAGCTATGATGAGTACCTGAGGTTGTGGGATGTAAGATCAATATCAACACCAGTTAATGAAACCTCTGTTTGCTTAGGGGGAGGAGTGTGGAGGATCAAGTTCCATCCTTTTGTGGCCGGTCTCGTCTTGACAGCTTGTATGCACAACGGATTTTCGATAGTCAACATTAATGAGGATAAAACTGAAGTGATTGAAACGTACAGCAAGCACGAGTCACTTGCATATGGAGCTGACTGGCACAGAGACAAATCGTTCCATGAAGGCAAAAGGAATAGCACTTTAGTTGCTACTTGCTCATTTTATGACCGTCTTCTTCGTTTATGGATGCCAGAAAGTGATTTACAGGATTCTGTGCTTTGAGTACATCATTTTAGTTGAGCTGGGAACGATCCAATGGCGTCAATTTGACAGATTCTGCATTCGCACATTATTAGGTACGGATTAGTCATGAACCCTATCTTTTTTCGTTCAAGTTAATACGAGACTTTCAAATTCTGGCTATGTTAAGGTTAAACAACGAACATGATTACTACTTTATGATCTAAAGCTAAGACAGGAACCCATGAAACATGGTCTGCTTTTGCTTCTACGATAATTCTCGGTGGAGTTTGCATTAATCTTTTCATTTTTGTATTAATTGCTTCAAGTTCTAGTTATCTTATGATTAAACAATTAACACTTCACTATTTGCTAAGATTGGACAGCAACCTTGAAACAGGGGGTCCTGCTTTACTGGGATTATTTCCAGTGAAAAGCCACTTTAACTGTGAGCCTTGTGAACTAAACAAATAGAGAGAGAAATACAAACAAAATAAGGAACAATAAACTAAGGTGTTCAAGTTTTTCGATGATAAATTTAGATGAATGTGTTCCTTCGAGTGATGCGTAGCACTTTTTTAATGACGGGCGAGGTGTTCGAATTTGTGATCTCGAAAGGAGAAGTAGCACTGTATCACTAGATTAAGAACTAGGTGGTAGCGTAGCGGCATAGTTCAATAGTTCCAATGAAGTTTTTCTCCTTTTGTCGAGTCGGATTTCATACCGAACTCTGGGGATTCACCTGTCCTGGTACTAACCAAACTTCTCAATTCAATACTTAACGATCAATGATTGTACAGAATTTATGCCTGCTGAAAAATGTTGTTGAACGTTTGGGCCATTTTCCAGGAACTCTACAGCTACAACAAGCCAATTGAAGGAAAGATGTTAGGTACATGTGAAGGTCATGTTTGTGTACAAAAAATGACAATGTTCTTTTGTCTTGTCTCCTTTTATTGTTTGTCACGTTGTTCTATTACGCTGCAAGGACCGACGTATACCATACACCGAATCCTTAGCCCATCTAAGGATCAAAAACCTTAGGGTATAAGATACTTTGAAGCATAATAGACAACCCTCATTCCAATAATTAAAAATTTAACGATAAAAAATCTTGAAGTATAGAATACCACATAACGTAATAGAAAACCTCCAGTTTTCAATAACCAAGAATCTAACGACTAAAAACCCGGTATTTTTATCAGTGTCCTTTCCTCCTAGCACTGTACTGCAAGAGAGAGATAATGTTTTTGAGGTGGAGCATCCATGACAATTTTCAAATATATATTTCTATAGCAAGAATTAATGTAACTGTCACACTAGGGTTCACAATCTGACAATAATCTTCCCCAATTTTTGTCTTTGCTTTATTTGTTTCAATGCATGTGTGGCCCAAAAAGTACGACCCCAACAAGACGCAAGTCACTTAATTTCACCCCCTCTTTGTCCATTAAATTTCTTCGTGGTTTACATTTACTCTTGAAAATACCCATGGTCCCCATGCAAACTATTGGCCATTCAGTAAGAATCAATGCGATATATTAAATTACTCTAATTTACGGGTGAAGGATTGAACTCGGATGCAAGAAACAAACACACTGCTTTGGCCAACTAGTGCAAACACTAAATTCTTTTATTTAAGGGTGGAGGATTGAATTTGGACGCAAGAAACAAACACACTGCTTTGACACACTAGTTTAATTGTTTAAGTACTAAAGACTCATTTGGAAGTGCTTTTAAAATGACTGAAAGCGATTTTGGTGAAAATGTTTTTTAAACCAATCCTTAGTAAAATTCCAAGTGTATCTTAGAAAATTACTTGAGTGCTTCCTGCAAGAAACACATATATGGTGCTTCTTCCAAAAGCGCTTTTAGTCATTTTAAAAGTACTTCCAAACAAATCTTAAATTACTTGATTTACATGGAAGATTGACTTCAAATGCAAATGACAAACACACTGCTTTGGCCAACTGATTTAACCCCTATCCGTTAAAGAAAAGAGGAAGCGTCAAACAGGGATGGTCTACAAATTATCACAATTTGAATCTTTCACTGGCTGCAATTGAACAAAAAACGAAAGACGCACAACAATTTGGCTTTATTCAAATGAACGTTTGCATCTTTGAGAATCATATCATGATTTAGATGTAACAATTTTTTTGTTACTTTTCATTTTTTACCAACCAAATGATTGGTCTTTGTGGAGAACATCATAAATTTGACTCTGCTGTTGCTATTTACTGCAGAAGTAACATGCCCCAACATTTTTTCGTCTCCTTTATAAATTATATGAAGTTCTTTGGACTAATGACATTTTTACTAACCCGTATTCAGAATCAAAATGCGGAATTTGATTAATTTATTAGTTGCTCTCGAGTGGGATTATTGGAGCAAATCTGCTCTCACATGTATCTATATTTTTTGTAGCAGAGTAAATAAAATATGAAACATTAAAATTATAAAGTTCTGAGAAGGAAAACATGGGTCTGCCTCTCTTTTGTCCCTGGAAGCTATCCATGCACGTGGAAATGTTTTTCTTCACCAAAATTTTAAACAATTAAAACTTGTCAAGCAGTGATTAGGGTCCTAATGCACAGCTTAACATTTAATTAAAATTTAAGCTTCGACAATCTGCAAGCGGTGAATTACCTTGGAAGATAGGGTCTTCTTCAACTCACTGTTTTTAGGTTCAAACTCTCCCATATTTTTTGAGTGCAGCTTAAATTAGTAATATCGATTGTAAAAAAAAAGCTCTGACGGTTTAACTTCACATCTGTTTGTAACTTTGTTCAATCTAGCTTAGACTTGAGGGGTAATATTAAAGGAGATTAAAATGATATTAACGACTAGTATGTTACTAATCTTGGTTTAGGAGCTCCCACTTTAAGACTTTATGGCTGACATTTGGACAACTGAGCCTGCAGTTCATTTATAGCTGATAACAGCAGTGGTGTTTCTTACCAGTCTCCCTCTCTCTCTCTCTCTCTCTCTCTCTCTCTCTCTCTCTCTCTCTTTCTTATCTACCCACCCCCACCCAGGATAACACTTGTTCTTGCTATGCCAGCCAACTCTTTCTAGAGGCACCAATTTTTTATCTGAAACTTCATCAACCACTAAACACCCCAAGTCATCCTGCTAACTCCTCTCACTTCCATTATTTTCCCTAATCTCTCTCACTCTCTCACTCTCTCTCTCTCTCTAACCCAAAACAAAATTTATAATGCAGTGTTCTGCTCTCATTGCTCAAAACACTTTTAGATAGATATGTCAGACTCACACTTTTTACAGTAAATTTTGGTTCATTGAGGCTTCATCTGAAATGGGGTTTCTTAAAATTTCATGGGCAGTTTTGATTCTTTGGGTGGTTCCATTTTTGTGTTCGAAAGCAAACTCTGATGGTTCAGAGGTTTCTGTTAAGTTCTTGAAGGCTCCACATGCATTCTCTCATCTCAACTCGGCCACATTTTCCTTTGAAGCTTTGGTTGGAGGAAATGCAGAGTCCTGTACAAATTGTAGCTTCAGTTGCAAGGTTTCTCTCTCTCTCTCTCTCTCTCTCTCTCTCTCTCTCTCTCTCATCACTCAAATTTTTTCATGTTCTGTGTTGGAGTTTTGTTGTTTATTTTATATGAATACTGAAAGTGAAGACATTGGTTATGTAATATGATGCAGCTGGATGATGGGGTGAGTTCTTATTGTGGAACTCGAAACGTTTCGTACTCAGGCTTGCAGGATGGAAATCATACAGTTGAGGTCTGCACCAATGGGCCTCCAGGAGTTGCTTGTGCTTCACATAACTGGACTGTTGGTTAGAACCCTTCCCTTATCCTTTTTGAGTTTTACTCTTTTCGAAATTTAGTCTCCGAATCTTAGTAATCCCACCCTTGCTTAAAAGTTAAGTGTCTTTCTATAAAAGAAGCTTGAAGGAGTCAAATTTTTCGAAAAACTATCGCGTACTTCGAAATTTAAGTTTGAATTTTGTTCTAACATTAAGTTATATGCATTTCTGCAGATACACTACCCCCAACAGCAACTGTTACTGCCTCTAGATCTTTTACGAACGCTTTGAATGTTTCTGTAAATATTTCTTTCAGTGAGCCCTGTAGTGGTGGAGGAGGTTTTGGATGTTTGTCTACGAACACCTGCAACGTGAGTAGGTGCAAACTCAAAATTATAATGCTAACATTTTAGCATGTATTCTTCTGTATCGTGCTGTGATTACAAATTTACAATCATTTTTCGGCACGCTTTTAAAGTAGGAAGATTCATTCGGCAATTTTCCATTCCTAAACATAGCTTAATCAGTTATAACGATGAATAAGATCTCGTGTTAGTATAATTAACAGATTTAACATAGGTGCTCACGTACTCTAGGTGCACTTTGTTATTGTGAATGGCTACTTTTCCTCTGGCCAGTGATTTTTGTTGTAAAGAAAACAAGGAGATTTGATGGATTTCTCTTTCTCTTTGCAGCTGCTAGTCTATGGGGCTGGCCAAGTTGTACCATCTTCACTCAATACTCTGCAGCCGAACCTTAGATATTCTCTTCTTGTGGGTTTATCACCCTCTGTTCAATACGGACGAGTTATCCTGGTGATGGACAAGAATTTCTGCACCGATAATGCTGGAAACAGTTTTGTAAGAACGGAAAATTCAAGATTCTATGTACGCATTGGTGAGTGTTTTTTTACTTCTCGAGGGTACATTGGAAGAGGATATATATATCTTTGAGAATATGATTGTGAATTTCGTTGGAAAGGATTGTTGATTTTTGCAGTATTGTTTACCTTTGGAATGCAGCATGTCACTTATAACTTACACTGAATGCTAATTCGGACTTAAATCTAACTTTTGTTTTCTTTCTACTAAAAAAAATGTAGCCATTTTGTCACATACGAAATTATATACTCAACGTAAATGTACTCAGAATGTATTCTTTTCATGGATTTTTCTGCAGATAGAAGAAATGTGTTTGTCAACTTGAGGATTCATATTCCCGAAAGGCTACTTCAGCTGAATGGTGAAACCAGAACAGTGCAGGCAACTAACAATTACAATAACCTAAAGATTTATTTGTACTTCTCAGAACCAGTTCTGAATTCATCTGCAGAAATTTTAAATTCCCTCAACATAAGTCAGGGATCACTTCTCCCTGATAGCAGAAAGAACCTCGGGAATCGCAGATTTGGCTTTGTGGTTAGTTGGTTTATAGATTGATGTACCTTAGTTTGAATTTTAATGTTGTAGATGTTAGGCGTATCTCTCCTAATCCTTGGATTTTGGTCACATGATTCCATTTCAGGTTGCAGATATATCTAACGTCGCTATAGTCACAGTAAGCCTCAATTCGAACTTGATAATAAGCAGACAAGGGACTCCAGTTTCTCCAATTTCATCCGACAACTTTCCTTTTTGGTACGAACTGCTTTGGTTTTGTAGAGCTTTCCTGGAGTCCATTCATATGTTCTCCATGATATTAATTGTGATATATATGTTTGTATAACTTTACATTTTTGCTCTTTGAAGTGATGAGCCCTTACATTGACAGAAGAACTTCAAACATATCTTTTTGGTATGCATTAAAGTAGTTTTACATGCGGGCTCTGACATTTGGTTCTTTTCTTCACTTGTTAATCTGGATATCGAAAACCTTAGATTCAAAAAGACCTGCTGTGAAGTTGAGTACACCCTCAAGTATGAGAACAAGAGAACACAGTATCCCCGTATTTATAAAGTTCGTGAAGCCTGTATTTGATTTCAACTCTTCTTCTTTGGCACTATCAGGAGGGCGCTTACAAAGGCAAGTAGTTAATCTTTCCCAACCTTCCTATTCGTACATGTTTTTCATTTGATGCACAGTACTATGACACAATGAATCAATAGCGTATTGCTGTGAAGTCTATTGCATATTTATTTTTGTACACCGTTTGAGAATCTTTACTATCTACAGCTTTCGCGAAATAAGTAAGAGCACATACATTGCCGAAATAGAAGGAGTTGATGACATTGTTTCTGTCAATGTTCCTGAAAACACATCCCGAGATGTTACTGGAAATAAAAATCTTGCATCAAATGTTCTTCGAGTGACACACTGTAAGGATCAAACTTTGTGCTAGTTAATTAATTGCTATCAGCAATTCAACCGTCTTTCTCTCTTTTTCTCGTAGTTATCAGTGATGAACGTTACGGACATTATATGCAGATTCGGTGCCTGTGATATCTTCTGTCATATCAGCATTTGCAACTGCTCTTTTTGTGTTGACGTCCATAGCTGCAGGGCTGCTTTCGATTTCAACTGCAAGCCTTCAATCTCTTTGGTCAATTAGCAGACCTTCTTTGGCATCTGAACCAGCAAGAAATCTTTTTGTACGACACTCAACTTCTTTTGATGCTTCATCTTAATAAACAGATACTTGTATGATTCACCATTTTTCTATCATTGTAAATCTAATTATTTACTTTCCTTTTTACTCTTATCCAGAGAATTGCTTGCCATATTCAAGTTTTTGCACTCTCTAGATGGTTGGCAGTTACGCTACCCGTTAATTTTTATGAACTAGTAAGGGGTTTACAGTGGAGCATTCCTTACTATAGTCTCCCATGGGAATCAGGGAATGGCTTCCCAGTCTCTAGTCCTTTCCCCAGCTCGAGTTCCTACATCATCGAGAATTATAGCTCCGAAATTTTGCAAAGTGCGCAACTAGAAGAAGAGAGTTTTAAGAAGGATACTTCACTGTACGGGTTGCCACTTAGTCCAGCAGAATACAGAATGTTTTTTGAGGTGATAAACGTTGGCCTTTCTTGTAATTAGCGATTTCTATTAGTGTCCAGTGGATATAATTATGATAATTGCATTCTGCAGTTGGACGGTGAAAACATTAGACCTGAAGCTGAGTATCTCTCCAATCGTTATAACGCTAACCGGTAAGTTAATGGTATTTATTATGTAGATATGTTTCTAACGCAGAGACTTCGAAGTGGGAGGAATAAACACAAATTCAATAGGCATGCATCATGCCAAAGAAGTAAACACAACCCAAATTTCTACATTTTTATGAAGATTTTGTGGATTAACTTTGCAAAATATACTAATCATGGTCCTTACAACGCCATTACTAAATTTTGTACTCCGAATGCTGCAGTTTCTTCTTTTGATTAATACCTTGTGTTAAATCTCAGGCGAAGTATAAAGAGACAAGTTACTTTTCTAAAGATTTGGTCTCCTGTGTAGGTGGAGGAATTTTGATAGAACGATGTTCTGGTTAGCTGTGTTTTGTGGCAGTTTGATTCTGTTACGTCTTTTAGTTCTTTTTATCCTGAAACTGAGGAAAAATTCTGAGAAACGGGGATGTTATGGAGCACTCACATTCCCCAGATTTGAGATATTTCTTGTAATACTTGCATTGCCTTGTATTTGTGAGGCCTCTGCTGCTCTAGTTAGAGGTACAATTTACTCGATACTGTTTCTTTCGTCCTCTCATTTCTCTAAGTTTTTTCTTTGGCAGGAATCAAAACATCTTTAGCTTTGCTTAGATTTTCGAATTCATGTTTTAGTATATACCAGACGAGTAATTGGATATCAGCATCGAATCATAAACCGTTTATTTCCTCAAACTAGAATCCCAATAAACATTCAGTTTTGTTGTTATGTTGTTCTCATTCAAGACTTTCGGAAAGTAAACAAATCTTACCTTGACTGTTTTAGGAGGAGTTTCATCTGGGGTTATAGTTGGCAGTCTGTTGCTGGTTGTCACATCTTTTCTGCTGCTCGCCTTGTTCTTGTTCCTCTCAGTTGGCATCACATTCGGAAAGCTGCTTCAGTACAAGGAAGTGCATCACGAAGGCCTGAAGTTTCACTGGTATCAAGAGCTAGTCCGGGTGACCCTAGGTCCGGGCAAAAGAGGTCAGTGGACATGGAAAGGTCAACAGAACTCTGTTTATCTAATCATTTTCGGCCCTCTCTTTGAAGATCTAAGAGGCCCCCCAAAGTACATGCTCTCTCAGATTTCTGAGGGCAATGCTGGCAAGCATGGGGACTCCATTATTGCTTCCGATGATGAAACAGAAGATGCAGAAGCACCTTTTATCCAAAAGGTGTTTGGAATACTGCGAATATACTACACGCTGCTGGAATGCGTGAAAAGGGTTGCTGTTGGGATCATGGCTGGTGTCTACATGGGCAAATGGTCCTCGAAAACTCCTTCGATCACCTTACTTTGCATAACCTCTTTCCAACTCTTTTTCATTGTTCTCAAGAAGCCCTTCATTAAGAAAAAGGTTCAGCTGGTGGAGATCATCTCGATTTCCAGTGAAGTCGGATTATTTGCAACATGCTTGCTTCTCTTGGAGAAGGATTTTTCAGCCGGCGACAAGACTAAACTTGGACTTTTCATGCTATTTCTATTCCTAGTCGGATTTATTGCACAGATGATTAATGAATGGTATGCATTGTACAAACAAACATTGCTGCTGGATCCTGCTGAGAACTTCTTAACGGGTCTGAAATTAGCTTCAGTTGGATGCCTCCTGTTATTCATGCCGCGGAAATTGATCAATACCTTGGAAAGCAAGTTCCAAGTGGAGAGCGAGTTCCAAGTGAGTCAGCAGACCGAGGGAGCAACGAGGGATCCTAGTTCATCTACAGGAGGTTACCGGAGCTCAGCTGCAACAGATAAACCGTGGCTAAAACAACTAAGGGAGATGGCAAAATCTAGCTTTAGTAAAGAAGGAAGTGGTGTTACGAATGATCCTTCAAGTAGTCACACTCGAACCAGATGGAGCGGGTTTTGGAGTGCGAAAGGGAGCGGGAGCTCCTCAACGCCAAATTCTTCCGTTGATTATAAATCGAAATCAAGAGGGCTGTACAAAGATTTAGAGGCCATTTTTGCATCCAAGTGAAAGAGACAAAAGGGAAGTTTTCCCTGATTACCAAACAAGAACAAAGAGAAGTTTTCCCAACAGCAAAAGATGTTCCAAATTGTTTTGCAATTGCTTGTCTCTCAAGTCTCAACAGATAATGTATAGTTGATTGATTTTCAATCTAGAGTACTTGTGGACATAAAGTACTCCTTGAGCAATACCTTCTGTCATCCGAAAAAAATTTCTCCAATCTAATTATGACCAGTAGTTGCCAGTAGACTACAATGCTACATCTTACTCATTGGTACGAGTTTTATAGATGATCTAATCATTGAAAAGATACATTAGATCCCTATATGCAAGATCTAACTGTTAACTTTCCGGACTACTCAGTCGAACATATTTCAGAAGAAAAATTGTGAAATTTTGTTCCTTCACTTTCCAATGCTTCTGTCAGTAAGAAGTCACAACTATTTGAACTCCGACAGCTACACATCCTTTTCTTTTCTGGATCTGCAGGGTGCATTCAGTCTCTCTATAGTTTGAGCAGACTGGTGAATGTGTCCCAGCCGGACAAAAGGAATGTTGAGGCTATGAATCCAATTATTCTTGCAGGCCAAGCAATCCCTCTGCTCCCTAAAAGCCCATCATCATCACAGCTCAATCCTCTTTTTAATACAAGTAAAGTTTAACATGATTCGACTGCACCAAGTAGTCCAGATGTCTCAAGTTCGAATTCTCATTGATAAAAGATTTGTTGAACGCATCTTTTACTTGTAGCTCAAGTTGTCAACTTGCTATTCGGCAGATGTTTATCACTGTCAGATTGTATAATTTGCAATTCCAACCCTGGAAAACCCATGTTGTGAATTATGAATATTCTAATGTGAAATTTTTTGTTCTAGACAAATTAGTTGTCGGTGTAGTGTACTTGTTTTATAAAAGTTGGACGACGTTGAAAATTTTCTATTTTTTCTTTAGTTCAATGTACTTTCTTTTTATGATATGGTTACACCCACATCTGTAGCTGAATAACAATAAAAATTTGGTGCCATTAGGTTTAGTTTGGATTATAGGATTTCACAGGATCAATCTCTAATGCCGTTAGACTGTTGATTCAGCACACCAAAAGGAAGAAGAGAGAATTGTTTTCATATTGGATCATTTGTCTGGAGAAATGAATCCTTCTTTTATAGACTTCATCTTACTCTTGAGAGATTGTTGTGAGACTTCTTTAAATGGTCTTATCATTTCATGATAAGACATATCACTTACAGAATGGTTATAACTCTTATGATAAGTCAGACATCTTATCACACTCTTTGATTAAGTGTATATCACTACACCAATCTTATGATGTACCTCCACACATCAAATACACACATAGTAAAACCAACATCATCATGAGCATATTCCAATTGAGCCCTTGAAGTGTTTGTATAAAACTTATAGTTTCGAGCTGTTTTTTTTTTCTTTCTCTAATGTAATACACTATTTTCTCATCTGCTTGCCAGTCACTCTCTTCCAATCCCTATCGACCTTCTAGCAAACTCATGGTGACTGAGTTGTGGGAAAAACAGGTTGGAGTTTGAGAAGAGCAAACAAAACTGGAATTCCTGTGTGTTGAAAAGGCAGGTTCTTTAGAAGGTGGAAGAGATGTAGCTTCATTGCTCTGCAGCATATGAATCACCGAAGACATTGTTGGTCGATTAGCTGGAGCTTATTGAACACACAAAAACCCTACATGGATACATCTCAAAGCTTCATCAGGCTCACTGATTCATCAATCACCTCCTTTCCTCTTCCTTCTTTCCACAACTCTCATGCCTAAATAAAATGTTGAATTTTGCGGTCATTTGCAGTTGCAAGGCTTAAATATTGAATGGTCATAAGTTGGAATGTTTTTTTAGTACTTACCCATCCAGCAAGAGTTGGTGAATGTTCAAAGCGATAAAAAGCAGCATTCTTCTTTCCACTCACAATCTCCAGCACCAACACTCCGAAACTAAATATATCTAGTTTCTCAGAGAAATGGCCATACATCTAATTTCTCAAAGAAATGGGCATATCATACTCAGGAGACATGTAGCCGTTGCATCAATTAATGGTACGATAAGCAAAGGTACTAAAGTAGTGATTGCATAAGGTTTAGATGATTGAAAGCATGTTCCATATAGCCTTACAATGTGCCAACAACCCTATTGGTATTTGCTTCGGTCTGATTTATCTTGAAAATCTTTGCCATTCCAAGTTTGATATTTCTGGGTTCATCGAGCCATCCAACAAAACATTACTTGCTTTTAGGTCCCTGTGAATGATTTTCAGTCTAGAGTACTTGTGGATGTAAAGTACTCCTTGAGCGACACCTATAATTCAAAAACGCTTTCCCCAATCTAGTTCTATTTTTTCACATGGATCTGGTTGGACAAACCATGAAGGACAATGAGCTAGTGTTTTTTCGATGGAGAAACCTAATCAAAGAATATAAATCTTAGAAATAATGAGGATATACCAAACAAAAGTTTGTCCAAACTCCGATTGGGCATGTACTCGCAGATCAGTAGCAGCTCCTCCTCTTCGACACAGCAACCCAAGAGCCCAACAAGATTGGTATGCTGAAGCTTGGCTACAAGCTCCAACTCATTCCAAAACTCGTGGATGTAGAGTAATTTACAATTCACCGAGTTACATGATCCGTACATGATATTGCAGGCTTTAGGGTGGATTAGTGGTGGTGGAAGAGAAGAACCTCATAAGGAAACTTGAGAGAGACCAAATGCAGATAACTCCAAGGCATTGAAGGACATTCAACAGTGTACCCAAGGAACTGTTTATTGCCAAGTTGTGCGATGTCGTCTCAGCTCCTCTGACTGTAAAGGACAGAGCAGTCACCAGTTGCGCTGCTCTATTCAGTTGATGCAATCTATAGACCTGCCAATCGTAACAAAAATAAACCTTTTGATTTGTAGGCCAGCATATTTACACAATTATAAACTATATACAGGAGGTCCTTCATATCATTTTTATCGTTTTTCAAATTGATTCAACTGAGATTATCAAATCACACGCAGTTTAAGGACGGAGATTGATTGGTGCATATCTAATTAGACAGGCTAGAATTTAAGAACTGTCATCCAGTAGTAATCTAACAACCTACTAGACAACAAGAGACACAAGATTTTTCCTACGATCAAATTCAATTTTTATGCAACATCCGTAGTGAAAAGGAAAGGATTGGATTACTTGAAAGATGACTGGGATAACAGGCCACGAAGGTGACTTCTTATATCTTGCATACTGCTCAAATGCAAATTGGACCACTATACCAACCAGATACGGAGCAAGAGTAGCAGAAGCTGCAGGGCCAGTCCATGGCCAAACATAACCCATAGTCACCATAGGAATTATAAGACTGAGTACCAAGGAAGCAACAGACGAGATTCGCTGTCCTAATTGAGGGGCTGGGGTTCTGTTACTGGGGACAATCAATTCTGGTTCAGTTGTCCTCCTTAAACGGTCAATCAGAAGAAGAAACACCGCAACACCACTGTAGAAGAGAGCTTCCGTGAAGAACAAGATGAGAAAATCTGAGAAGAAACATATTATGGTTTAGACAAGAGAAAAAGGTTTACTTTCTAAACTGAAAGAATTAAATGAGTTCACAAAGAAAAGTAGAATGTATATGTTAAGAAGGATATAGGCCAAAAGTTGTGATATGCTATAGGCTTTATGAAGATGTCAACTTTTTACATAATGCCAACATTCATTTATTCCCAAGAGTTGAACCAACAACAGACATTACTTTGCCAGTCCATTGAACCCCATCTAACGTTACTTCTTAGAACTTCGCCTCATTATTCAATATTTTCATCCATGTTCAATTGATTATTGCCCTTCACTTGTAGTTATTTCTCCCCTTTCTCGTCTATTTCTATCATATTCATGTTGAAACTTTCTAACCTATGTCACGCGTCACCCAAAACCACTTCCAGTCACCCAACCCTTCCCTACCACTAGGAATTGTTCAAGCAACAAGTTGGTATGGCCCATTTCATACCTAATCCCATGCACATATCTGATCATTGAATGGGGGCCCTCCACAGGGACAGATACCCGAGTTAGGTATCAGTCCCACCTACCGATCATTAGTACAACGACCTGAAGCAAAACTCTCCTTAAAGTTTCCTAGAATCATTCCTTCACCAACAACTATTTAGAGTCCCTAACCCTCATCCATTCGAGTGGGCTGCACTAACTTTCACCTAGTATAATCACTCTAATAGAGTCACTCCAACACCCCAAGATAGTCTTACGCAAAATAAAAAATAATGCAAGTTGTGGCGTGGAGAAAGTGATACACAGAAAGGTGTATATAGATATAAGGAAACAAAATCTCAAGCTGACAAGATAAATTTTCTGTTCTGCCTATCCTATCTACTGCAATTATGGTTTTAGTTAAAAAACATGTGATGAAAAATATCTGGACTTTAATAAACATAAAATCACGACATATAAATATGCATCCTCACCTGTCAACAGTGAATCCTCAAATATAGTAGATAGTATTTTGCGCAGATAGAGCGAGGGGAAAATGAAAGAAGCTAGGAGAACAGCTGGACCAATGAACCATAAGAGGCTGTTTTGGTTCCTTTCTGGATTATTTGTAGAAACTTCTTCTTCCTTTTTATGTGGACGGTTATAAAATGAGACTAAACCTGGTTTTCCACCAGTACCATCAAAATGGATATATGAACTGTTAGAAGGAAATATATCTTCAGAATTAGGACAGTGATTTTCTGGCTCCGTAGCATCTGGTTTTATATCACTATATTCTGACTGGTCTTCAGCAACAGCAAAGAGAACACTGTGACTGTTTGGAATCCTTTTGCTTGCCTGCCCTATTTGATGTCTGAACACACATGAATTACCTGCTTACAGCAACAGAAAAAATAGACCAAGCATATTTAGAGCCAAAAAAATCTCTCACTTTTCAAAGTAATGGCATTACAGTTCAAAGACTATTTGGTAAAAAAGTTACCTAATAATGGTCAAATTACAAAAAGTAGATACAATAAAATGAAATCCATAGGTTCGCTTCTACAATTTCGCTATACTCATTACCTCGGGGAAAAACCACATCTTATGCTGGCTACATTGCACCATAGAGAAAAAAAAATTGAAGGCTTGAGTAATTATAGACCAAATATGAAGGCTACCTTTAACATATCTTAGCTGCTGAGCACCACATCGTTGGCTGCAGTACGGTACATGCAATAAGCTCAACTGGACATCAAGGGAAATATATTTATAAGCTGAAGACTGGATAAAGTTCTTCTAAAAGGAGGCAGTCATTTGACACTATCAGACTAGAGTCATATAAGACAACTAGATGTGGATTAAAAAAATCTCAAGACAAATGACTCTATTTAGAAAAATGACTCCGATTGGAAGTGAATTCGAGCATGGTTTACTTCAGCATAGCAAAATGACACCAATTAGTCAACAACGGTAAAATCTACCGCACAAGGTGCATTTCAAATGTGTTGATGTGAATCAATCCTAGAAGCTTAAGCTGAGTATAAGTGAAAAAATATACCTCATTCATGTAGGAGATAAAACAATAGAGGGTATGAACAAATTACTCTTGATATGGCATAATTGCCCCAAGAGATACCTCTAGCTTCTCACAAAGCCATTCCTAAATCGAAATTTTTGAATACTACGAACCCGAATACAACTAAATCTCTCCCAAACTAGATTCTTTAACATCATAATACCCTATTTCTTACATAAAAGACTTTAAAAAAGTATCCCACTTTTTCTTTCCTTCTTTGTTTTTTGACCAGTATTTGCAGAATCAAAATTCACCTACCAATTCCACACCTTTTGGCCTAAAAAAAACACCAATTCCAAACCATTTAGCTACCAAAAACAACCCCACTACACATTCCACAAGTTCATATGCAAACATGAAAACAAAAAACAAAAAATTTGGGAGATATCAAGACTTTTTCTCAGTAACCAAACGGTCCTACAACGCACCTGGGAACCCCTTCTCGTTTGGCAATGGGAAGCAGGAGAAGTGGCCAAGCAAGAAAACGAAGAACCACATTTAAGCGTCATATCTATGAACCAATAACAAGAAGCCAAGGCAGAGTCAACGGCGGCATGTTGCGGGATTATAACGCAAACCCGTTTGATTCGATGAATATTTAAGGCTGCCCATGAAGAAAATTTTCCGGGAAAATGAAGGAAAGGGTGAGAAAGTAGAGGAATTCGAAGAAACTCAGGAGTGGGGGTTTTTGGAGTTACTGAAGCGAAAGATGGCGGCTTTCGTTTGTGTGTTCGGTGGGACGAAGCGGACGACTATCGTTTTGGACAAAATCCTACTCCCAACGTTACATTTATGCGGATATTTTGTTTTTATTTCCGTCCTTTGCTTCTCACGGGAGTATTCTCTATTTTTGTTTTTTGGAAATTTCTTAATACCGCATAACACCGAACAATAGAAAATTATTGAAAATAACTTCAAATTTTTACATTTTAATAAAAAAATTTCCGCTAATTTTATTTAATAATAAAGACAAATGACTAATAAAATATAAAAAACCTAACAAACCCAACTTGCGCAGAGCGCGTTCCACCTTTTTGTCCTATCGTCAGCTACATTAATATTTTTTTTTTTTTTAGCTTAGAATAAGAAAAATAGTAGTCATGATGACAAGAAACATTTCAATATGCCCAAAATACGGGATGGTACACTCTATACAAGTTGTGATATTCTTGTGTTAAAAATTTAATAACATAAAAAATAAAATTTTCCACCACTTATATAATAACATGTGGCATATCATTTATGTTACGAGCACAAGGAAAAATTTCTCCAATATGACACCCAAGCTCAAGAAATTGGATGGAGAGTTACATTTATTATTGTAGATATATAAAAAAAGTGAGGAAATTTTAATTTGGTAATTGAAAATAGCTTTTTAAATATAATTACTGAGAACATAATATTCTCAAGGTTTTGATCTAAAGAGTCACTTCTTGGTTCATCTTTTTGGCGCAGTGAGTGCTTTTACAAGACCAAAAAGGGTCTAAGTTTCAAACTTTATGAAATTGAACTAAGAATTAAACATTATTTATAAAACTTCACCAATAAGTAAACACTATTTATGAAACTAGACCAATAAGTAAACACTATTTATGAAACTAGACCAATAAGTAGACATTATTTATGAAACGAAAAAAGAATTAGGCATTATTTCAAAAACTAAACCAATAGGTGGAAATTGTTTATGAAATTGGACTATGCACTATTTATGAAACTGAAGTAAGAACTAGACAATTTTATGAAATATGACCAAGAACTATGCACTATTTATGAAAGTGGATAAATAACTAGACATTATTTATGAAGCCGAATCAAGAAAGAGACACTATGAATGAAACTCTATCAATTACTATACATTATTTATGAAACTGGACCCAATAACTAGGTATTATTTATGAAACATTATCAAGAACTAGACACTATTTATGAAAGTGGACAAAAAATTAGGCACTATTTATGAAATTGGATCAATAAATAATATAGTACCGTTCCGTTTCATAAATAGTGTTCCTTTTCATAAATAATGTTCAGTTTCATAAACAGTGCACATGTCTCACGCGTGCATCATTTTTTTTTTTAATTGTGTCCTTTTCATTAAAAATAAGTTTTTTTTTTGTCATTTTCATTAAAATTTAAGGATTTTTCGTTAAAATTTAATTCTTTTTTTATTAAATAAAGTTATAATATGGTTTTTTGTTAAAATAAACTTAGCCCAAAGCCTTTTCATGAAGTTCCCAACAATAAAATGGTGAACTACTGAGATTGAAAATTGAAGACTTAAATAGTTGTGAAAATTAAATCTAATGGTTAAAATACCTGTCATATTGAATAATACGTAACATTCAAGTCACACTTTTTTTATATCTTTAGGGCATGCTCAACATTTGTTTTTGAAAAGCCTAAATGCAATTATAAAAGTGCTTCAAGCTGCATTTAACAGAAAAAGTTAATAGTGTTTATGAGTCACATAAAAGCATTATTTGGAGAAACACATATTAGATCCTTATTCAGAAAACACACAATTTTTTACGGAAACTGTTATTAACACTTTATAAATCTCATTCTACACTTCTCACAAGTGTATTTTTTTTCCAATTATAGAAAGTTTGAAGTGCCAAATAAGATTTTTGAAGTACTAATAACAATTTTCTTTTTTATTGAAGATTTTATTTTAACGTGTTCATAACAAAATAACTATTGAAGATTTATAACATGTTCAACATATGAACCAAGTATTTTCTACACAAGCTTCCCAAGGGAATCCTTTCTTCTTCTTCTCTTCAACTCTTTTGAAGTGTTGCAATCACACCGGCACATGATGTTTCTAGTACATTATCATCCGGGCATCCATCCCGGCCCTACTTCTATCTATTCCAACAATCAAGCCCCTACAACTCGATCCATCCTTGAACCCTAATCGGTTTTCGGAAGAACGAGAGGAAGAAAGGATAGGGGAAGAATGCAGAAGATTTAAGGTGATATGCATGATGATTCTCAGACTAGCTACCAAAGCACAATAAAGAATAGAGCAAGTTCTATAACATCCAATTCCAAACCCCATCTCATCATGGAACCTCAAAAGCATTCGCGGCAGCTGAATACAATACAGAAACAAAATGATAGGGACCTCATCCAAAAATTAAGAATGCTACCTTGTAAAAATTACAGAAACCGGACAAATCCGCTTGTCATGATCCTTCGACTAGCTAGACATCAAGAACAACCCCGGTCTAAAATGGGGTCCGCTGGCTCTTCGAAAAGAAACTCAAACTTCTAAAACCATCATCAGGAGCAACTCCGACTTTCAGCCATTGCTCTCACAGAAGACATTTCTCAGATGCATCTAAATGAGATTAGCCCTCTTTAGGAATCTGATTGTTCTGCAGTAATAAGGCCATATTGATTCCACAAAATCAAGGTATCTCTCGACTATCAACTCTTGCAGTGCTTTCAGCTTTCTTCTTGATAATTTCTTGTAGTCTAAATTCTTAATGTTCAGTAAAGGTTGCCAGAAACGAGTCCGTATTTCCTCTTTAAGCTTCCCATGTGCAACGTATGTATAGGCCACCATGTAGTAGGAGGGTAAATTCTTGATTACTTTAACAGTCTGCTTGAAGCTGAAAACATAGAGTGCACACAACCACTGAAGCATCTTGATGTAGAGAGCTACAATGAAGGGTCCTAAAACCCACAACGGCGTCAACTCCTTTGAAACTTTGGCCCCATAAATCGTATTAACTGCCAGGTACATGGGTATGCTGCATATTTAGTGAACAATTAAAATGATGTCGTAGATAAAAGCAAATAAATCCAAGATGTCTCACGTTAACCCCATAAAACTAAAAGTTCGTGCAAACAGAATAATCGTGGACTTGGAAAAACAGACAAGCAGATGGAGAGATAGAGCACACATTATACTTACAATATAAGTAAGGGTATCTTTATTGTAGCATTTAGACTGAGAAAATTGCACCAAAACGTCCGTAGAATCCCATCCTTTTCCTTGTTTTGAACCTCATGCTTAGTTTCTGATACCTTCATTGAAGGCGGTTCTTCCCCCAAAAGCCCATCTTCTACTTCACTTGATGATGGTGTTCGAAGCATTCTCAGCCATTTCTTAAATAAATTATGAATGATGGGGGACGATGCAATGCCTTCATTTGCTTCAGAGGCGTAAGAAAGAGGAATATCATTTGCCTGAGATTTCGTAATGGTATCCTCATTCTCTTTCAGTTTGACTGAATTCTTGGGAAGCTTTGATCCACTTGTTCTACCTCCAGATTTACCATTCTGGGCACTGCCCTTGAAGGCGGAAACTCTGAAAGGTTTAACTTTTGGTCCCCGCATGAGAGAAGCCCCTACACTGTGAAACAAGTTCTCTGAATTTAAATGATCAAGATAAAAAAAATGTGTATTTGGTGTGGATATGGGTGTGCGTATCCATTCCCTCATAGTGCATATGCGACTCCCACAAGTGCAAGTAGAAGAATTTCAATGCAAAGTGACAACCACGAAGCCTAAAGGAAAGTAAATAGAACAATTAACAAGATAACAAACTTATAGAGGAAAAACTCCCACCTCAAACAAAGGTTGCGCTTCAATATAAAGCACCTCTCTGTCCTCACCATTTGATGTGTTGTTACACACTGCTTCAACTTCATCCCTTTGCTCCATGACAAGGGCCTCGAGGGATACGTAACATAAGTACCCTGAAATGCAATAGTAAAAAAACAAAAAGAAACTTCAGCATAAAAAGAGAAAGCTAGTAACAGAAAGATACAATCCCAAATTCAAGAAATCGCCGAGGTAAACTGAAAACCAAGGGGCAAACATGGATCGTCTCTCTAATAGGTCAAACGGATACAATGTAATATGAAATTCAGGGTACTCTTAATATCAATTACCTGCATTTGATGCACGACCAATGCCATCGTCTCCACCTCAACAAACAAATCATTTACTCAGCAGGGCCTAATTTCATAAACAACCACACATAAGCACCAGCTCTTGCAGCAAGCAAAGCAGAAGGAACAACTCAACACCAATAAACAGAATTCATAAACTTATCACAAACAGTTAACAATTAAAACCAAGAACACCAATTCATCTCAAGCTAGGAATATTTCGAATAATAGAATCGTAATTATTCAAAAAAAAAAACCCAGAAACAAAATTAAGCAATAGCTTGAAAACTCGCATCCCTCTCTCTTTTCCTCAAAATTCCCAGCAACCCAACAAGCAATGGATTCCAAAACCCACTAAACCACCCAAAAACACCAAAAAGGAGCTGAATTTTCAACAAAACAACATAAATTTCATAGCTTTAGAGTTCGCTTCTTCCCCATTTCCTCCAATTACAAAAAACCCAAACAATCCCAAGCTCACAAATCAAACCCTAACCAAACCAAAACAATTATATTGCATAACTGAAAGTCAGAACGAAAGAATTGGTGGGAAAATTCAAACTAACCTGCCATGAACTTCCCTCCCTTCACAAAAATTAGTGAAATTTGGGGATAAATGCTGCTTTTATCTTTGTCGCGCTCTCCGAATTGAATTTTGCCAAAAATAGAGAGTGGATAGAAGAAAGAGATAGACAGAGGAAGGTCTTCGACCCTTTTGTGGTGAAATTAGGGTTTTTATATGCAATGTTTTTTTAACAGCGGAATGTGGAGTGGAGGATAATGAAGCACGAACAACCAGAGGTTAAGGTGAAACCAAAGCCGGAGAGGAGCCACGCCAGGGAACCAGATGACAAAATTCCCTGATAAAATTAAAAGAAAACTAATAAAAAAAAGTTTTAAAACTTTAGATTTTAACCATAAGAATAAAATAAATAGTGAGTTCGGTTAAACCACACAATAAGTAACTTAATTTAGTATTGAATTTGTCATCTACGAGATTCGAACCTAAGATCTCTCATTTTTCAATGAAAAGAAATACATCAGACTATATTACTGAGTGGCTGATTTTTTAAAGGTCAATAATATTTCCGTAACTTTAAGATGAACAGTATGAGTTGTATAAGTGTGGGCATACAAGTCCTTGGACCCATGAATCCAGACCACATCCGGTTTTAGTTAGACTCGGCTTGTGTAAAAAAAAATAAAACAAATCCAAAACTGAGTTCAAATTTTGTTATGTGCTGGCCCAAACAGCTGGTAACCTAGTCCAGACCGTTTAAGAGTTTCTAAACGATTGCCATTTTATTAGTGGTCCACAATGAAATTAAGTAACATTATACAACATTAAATTAAATTAAGTAACATGAAGCAAATTAAACAATATGAAACAACATTAAATAACATTAACCAACATACAAATTATATAACATAAAAAAAACATTTAACAACATGAAACTTAAACAACATGTTTAAAAACATTTAATAACATAAAACTTAAACGTTTGCTCTGTTTTGTTTGTTGCGCCTTACTTTAACTTCTTCATCAGACTCCTCATCTTCCCGTCTCATTTACGCCCATTTTGCTTCCAATTTGGAATTGGATGAGGACTCCCAGTTGGAATTCATTGCAAACTTGAATTGAAAAAGATTGAATTGAAAGAGATTGAATTGAAATAGATTGAATTCAAAGTTTTGTGAATTATAGCCCAATATCCACCCTATTTATAGCAAAAAAAAAAAAAAATTCAAATCCAAAGCTAGATGACGTCAGCATGATTTCAGCTACTAATGGCTAGCTGACGTCAATTAGCCTTTGGATTTGAATTTAAATTGTAGTTTTTAAATAATAAATTATGTTTGGCCCTATGGCTCTTTGACCCTCGGTTGGAGACAGAGGCAAATATGGTCATGTACTGTTCATTAATATCTTGGAGGGCCAGAGGGTTAAAACGAGCCCTCTGGCCCGCCCTCGGTTGGAGATGGCTTAAAAATATGTGTGGATAGCACCGGTCTTCCTTTTATGACAATAGACTTAATTTGAGTTGTTTTTGTTCACGCCACTACAATCACTCATCTCGAATTGACATGAAAAAGCCAGAGTAAAGGTAAATAAAAAGTTTATTCTTTTAAAATGACAAAAAATACTTTGATGAAAATATTTTTTAAACCAATTCTTAAAAATATTTTCAAACGAGTCAAAAGCTTATGCTTTGCAAAAGAAAAAACACAGATCCGTTTGATTTGTAAAACCGGACCGTATCAAACGAATTGAAATGAGTTGGTTCCACTAATAAAAATCACATAAACTTAGATTGGCCTGAACTCGTTTGAAAAAAAAAAAAAAAAAAGTCGAGTCCAGATCCAAAAAAAAAAAAAATGTCCTGGCTCAACCAGCGACCACTTGTATTTATAATTTTAATATTGTTTTCCTGTGTTGATCAACCGCGGGATGACATGACAATTTGCTTTCAGGTTCACTTAACCATTTTCAAATACAATTTTCCTTGTTAATAAACAAAAAAATATTTTTACTTTAATTAGGTAACAATTTTCTTTAGAAAAACTAATAAAAAGTGCTTGAAAACTTTAAGTTTTAACGAAAATAACAAAATAAAGGATAAAATAAATAGTACCATAATTGACTTTTTAGTGTAAAAATATGATTCTTCATTAAAGTAAACAATACTAGGAGCTTTTCGTTAAAACTTCTTTTTCTTTATCCCTTACAATTTTGGTGACCTACTAACCCTAAAGTGTAGTACCATATCTAACCGCATAGGCATATAGACCGTTAGATGATGAATATATTAAGTAACGCATGTCTTGTTAGGTGACACCCAATTTTCGCTTTGTTGGATTTACGTGATATATATTTTAATTTTGGCCAAAAAAACTACAAATCAACAAATAGATATAAACAAAGCGAAGCGAACCGGCCAAACAAGGCAGAGAATCGAGAGAGAAATCATAAGCTATCTCTAACTTCATTCCTTTCCTGCCGCTCCAATATTAATATTTAGAGCCAAGGCAAGGGATTACGAGTCACTCTAAAACAGTAAATACAAAGGCCAGAACAAGAAAAACAAAGTTAAAATCGTTCCGTACGAAACAAGGGGTGACCATATCACAATGTTTCACATCCCATTCAATTGAAACAAGAAGATAAATAAGAACTACGACACCATCGACTACCTCCAACCGCGGCTATCTACTTCAGCACCGTCTACTTTGCCGCAAGCCCTGCTCGGTGGACAGAAGCCGTCAGTTGTCTACTTAACATGTATGAACACTAAATTTGACCAATTGATAGAATACCTGAATGCTATCGGCCACTGCTAATGATGCGTGAGTGGGAAAAAGGTGGGTTTCAATCGATAAAAACCTCATCTTCAGAATCTTAAATCATTCAGCTACTGCTCCATATCTGCATCTACTTGGGAGGCGCCACTTTGCCGTCCATGCAAGTTACCCCCACCACGTCGCGGATGGGTCTGGCCTCTTTCCTTGACTCTTCCACCAGTATTGTAAGAACCATCTCGCGGTTCCTCGGAATTGTTGAACTTGTTATTGCTGTTGTACGACCCTACTGGCTGGTACTCAAAATGCGGGCTGTGCCTCTGTCTCTCCCGGTTTGCAGGGTGGTTGTGCTGCCTACTATCATGCCCTGAGTAATTCCAATCCCCACGAGACTCTTGACCTCTCCCAAAACGGCTGTTTTGGTTTCCATTCTTGCGGAACCCAGTGTTAAAATGCTGCTCTTGTCTAGTATCCATACTAACAGGAGCTGTTTCAACTGGGGTAACATGACCCTGGTTTGGAGAGCGGGGGCGTCCCCTGAATGAGGCTTTCCTCTCTCTCTTACTATGTCCTTCCCCTGCATTGTTTCTCTCAGATATCACCTGATCATGTTGATACTGGGCCACATATTCAGTATTATCCTTGTCAGGTGTTGCCGGACGTGGCACCGCACCTCGGGGACTGGTCTCCTTTTTGACAGTCCGACCAACTTCCACAACAACGTTTTGACCACCACTGGCCCTATTTCCCAGTTGACTATTGCCTGAATGTGCCTGAGATTTGGGTTGCCAATGAGGCGCTGCACGTTCCCCAACAGCTCGATTCTCTCTGGAAGCAGCACCTAAGTCTGTTTGACCCGTTTCTGAGGCTGAAAACTGATTGTTATTTTTGTAGGTATCCCCTCTGCTATTGTTCTTTTCATCCAGATCATGATTGTTTCCCATGGCTCTGTGTCCCTTGAATGGATGCTGCTTTCCCCTTCTGGTATTTCCCTGGTCTTTTGCAGAAACAGAGACTGGTGCAACAGCAACAGGCTCTTCAGGCATGTTCCATCCGTCAGAATCATTCCAATCATAACTCTTTGGTTGCTCTATCTCTGAGACAACATCAGGCTTCTGGGGTTGATGATTCTGGACTGAATTTTTATCAACATTTGAAGCATACGACGGTCCATCTTCCGAACCATGCATGGCAGTTGATTCTGTTGACCCCCGGCCCTTCCATGATCCATGTGCTTTTCCGTGCTTACTCTGTCTACTACTCCCATGCCTCGGCTCTATGGCAATCCCCACTTTTCCAATAGTTAGAGTAATAGGTTGAGAACTTTCAGCAACTTGAGAACCAGAATCTGATCTCTCAATGGTCTCATTTATTGCAGTTTGATTGATTACAGAAGCCACTGGCTGTTGAGTGCTTCCTTGATGCGCCATCTCTTTAGCTACAGGTTTTGGAACATATCTCTCCATTTCAGCCCTCTTATTTTTTGAACTATTTTGCACTTTATGTTCAGTCTTTACAGCACTAACAGCCTCAACTTCATTATTGGGGATGGCTTCATCAGGTACATCAGCTTTGTTCTGTGACCGCACAGGTGCCCAGACAACAGCATCAGTGCTGTGAAATTTTTCTGAGTGCTTAATAGCTTGCGAATTCCTTGACACCCTGCGAAAATGCTGAGGTTTCCACTGGCTATTTCCTTTACCTTTAGATTCTTCATTTGATGGAGACAAGTGTTGTGCCGAAGAGTGGTATGCATCTCTAGGAATGGTCTGTGACTGACCCGAGCTAGGATCCAACTCCAACTCAGATACCCTTGGCCTTCCACTTTCAACTGTGGCATTTGCAATATCTGTTTCTTTCGATGCAGATGATGGCATTGCAGCTGCCGTCGATGTGCTCTCTGTTTTCTGCTTATTCTTTCCAATTCGGTTGTTTTTCTTTCTGGGATGAGAAGTTGACTCAAGTATGACACTGGGATTAGCAGTCTGGCTTGACTCACTGCTTGAGGCTGTTTCATTTGGTACAACTCCAAGGGATTTGGAAACATCAACCAGGGAATCTGTCTGACATTTTGTTGCATCATCTGTGCTGGTGGAAGTAAACTTTCCAGTAGGCTTCTTTTCTAACTGATTGTTCTGCCTTTGTTTAGGGGCCTGCTTAACCCTAGTAATATTGATTTCGTGAGCCTGGGGAGCATTGTTTTGATCAACGACATTAGCAACAATAACCTCCTTCAGCTTAGGCATAGATTCATCGTGCATCAGAACAGGTTCCTTGCAGACACTCTTTAGCGTGTCTGAAGGGAGGTCACTAGCCAGAACAGTTGACTTTTCAGCTTTTCCAGTGCTACTCTCATTAATCAGTGAAGCACCATCAAGATTAGATCCCAGAGCTGATTTCCTGCCACCACTTAGTGGTTCACCTGCGGTTTGAGAACCTTCTTGCTTAATCTGGATGGCACCACTTGAGTGACTTTCAATCTTCTGATTTGAACTCTCCACTTGAGTACGTCTGTTCAACTCTTCCAATTTTGCACGAGCCTTGGCCATCTGCCTTCTTGTCCGTTCCTCCTCTTCCTCCTGTAACTGTTTGGTACGTTGCTTAGCTAATTCCCTCATCTTAGCACGCTGGTAAAGAAGAGATGTTAGTTGCAAAGCTGACACAAAATCTAACAAGAATATGAATAACGTGTATACCTGTGCCTCAGAATCATTTGGATCAACCATTGGCATGGCCAATTCCTCCTCACATCTGCCTTGTGGATAAGATCCTGACTTTTCAATTGCTTCCGTTGAAACAAGGTGGTCATAAGGCATTTCAAAACGTGCAGTTGATACAACAGTTGTCGGTTCTGAGACCAAGGACTTCTTTGACCACCCTTCACCTTCTTGATTATTGAACCTTCCTCTACCACGATGATCTGATCTATTATCATGCATGGCACGATTGGATTGCCTGTAGATCAGAAAATCAGCATATTCCATTAATTTACAATAACATGTACATTCTCAATGGAAACCATAAAGTCGCCAACCAACCTGGAGATGGAAATTGTGCTGCCCACTTCAAGAGAAGGATTTATGCTCTCTGTGGCATGAGATCTTTCCGGATTTACAATACCACCACCAACAGGTTCATTAACTGAATTGTGAGCTTTAGCATTGACTTGGAATCTGTTCTTCTGCTCCTCCCTAGTGGAAACAGATGAAGTATCACTTCGTCCATCAGAAACACGTGCCTTTGCATTTAATCCCTCTATTTTCTGAATCAGACTGGAGTCTTTTGCAGCATCCAGGAGTGGTTGTGCGACTTCCGGCGTGCCATAGGCTTCAGTACCCGATTTCTTCATTGAGATGACATCAACTGTCTTTATCTGTTCCAAACTTTCAGGAGACATCACTTTCTTAGGAACTGAAGCGGCTCCTTGGTTGTCAAACTTCCTTGAAGCAGCTTCTTCACCGACCATTTTCCTTTGATCCCTCACTCCCTCCTTTCTGTGATCTGATATCCAATCACGCTCTGCTCCCAACGTACTAGGATGATCCTCCCTCTCAAGAGATGATGCATCAGTTGAAAGTCCTGTGACAGCACCCTCATTCCTTTGCTCCTCATTTCTTCTATCCCAACCATCATGCTGCTTCAAAAGAACTTTGTAAGGTCCAAGAGAATCAGGCGGATGAGCAGATTCAAATTGCTCCGACATCAGCTTGGGGTTGGGGGGACCGTATCCACTGGGTCTGCCTTGAGAAATGGCAGGCCTGTGAGCGCTTTGGCTAGGGTAGTTATTATAAACAGGGGGACCAGCTGTCATTCCCACATACGGAACATCTCTTTCATTTGGATTGCAGTAGCCCCTTGGAGAATTGTAATAGCCCTCAAAGGCCACTGGACCAGGGTAAAAGCCAGGTCTAATTGGCATACCAGGACGGATATATGCATCCTGCATATGAGGTCTGTACATATCTCCATTTTTAGGATGGTGTCCTCTTGGTCCTGCTCCAGGTGGAGGAATGGATTGCTGACTGGCAATAGCAGCAGGTGGAATCTGTGGAGGTCCTGGAGGATAATATGGAAATGGTTCCATAGGAAAGCCACCAGGAGGGATCGGAGCTCCATAGGGAGCTCCTGGAGGTCCTCTATACCAAACACCACCTTGTGGATTATTTACTGGACCACCATGCCATCCATCATAGTGCTGGGGAGGAACATTAGCACTAGGGTAAGGGTGGGGATTTCCCTGCCACTTCTCCATACCATGTCTACCTCCATCTTCGTTGTACAAGGGATTTTCTCTTTTCCATGAATTAGCAGTTCCACCCTTCATGTTTGCATTTTCAGAAATCTCGCCTAAATATGGAAACCAAGCACATACTTATATACATGAGCGAATGAGAAACCACGGACATTAACTAATAAAAGATCAATATTGCAACACTCTAATAAAACACAAAAGAGTTAAGAGCATGTGCACAAACCAACTACATAAGTCCCAGTCGTCTCTTTTGCCACTCTACCACTAGAAGAGCCAGGACGACTGTAAGAACTGTGATCTGTCATAAATGATTGATCAAGCAATCAGTAAACCAAAATGGAGCATCAAGTTCATTACAACAACACAATTGTCCCATACGAAAAGAAATACAAACTTGAACTCAAAAAAATATGCATAGTTTATTTTTTCAGCTTCTTTTTTCTTCTTCCATTTGGCAAAAAAGAAAATGTATATAAACACTGGAATAAGTAAAATTGGCAGCCATTCTGGACGTGCTGGAAAATTGGCAGCTAGGTGTAAAGTTTTGCAAATTATTTTGTAGACATGGAACGGCAATTTACATGTCAGTGCCACATCAATTAATAAAAATCCGATGGCACTGCCAAAAACAGTTGATGAGGTAATGCAATGTGTGGCATGCCAACTTAACCATCATGTGAAATTTGAAAAAAATCTTGGTACACAGTGTCTTCAAATGTTAAATTATATAAGTGAAATATAGGCATAGGACCTTGTGGCTCGGCACTCTTTCCAGGATTATCTTTTTCTGAACCAAGCGTCGGAAAATCTCCAGAAGTAAGTGAAAATCCATCATTCTTCGATGACATCATCCCCTGCACGTGTGACAGCAGTTAATCAAATTAGACTTCAGATAAATACTGGGCTGACTGCAAGAGAGAAGAAATAGCAGAGGCAGTGTTCAACCGCCATTGGGCTCCCCTAAGATTGGAATGGGTAAAGCAAATGGGGCAAAACCTCAATCCTAACCCTATTTTACATTTAATACAACTCCCCTAACAATTAAAATTATTTTCCTTTAAACTAACTAAAAGCAAACTAAAAAAAATGTCAACCTACACTTCTTTTTATTTCAATATTTCCCCTCCATCTAATTTCATTAGCTAGAGTGGATGAAGGAAACACTCAACATCTATAAGTTTTTCCCATAACAAGTCAAATTACTGCTTTCACATATACATATGTGGGTCTCATGTGGTCAATAACAAACCGTATGTTTTATAAAGGGTGTAAAGTTTCCCAAAAAAAAAAATTAATAATAATTTGCTACATATAGAATGTAGCTATTTAGTCCTGAAGTACTTATCAACATGACCATATTTTCCAACTTGTCAGAGCGTTTGTAGAAGCAGCATAAAGAGGTGGGATAGTAACCGCATTTAACTTACAAGGTCAGATTGGATGGTTGGAAAGAGTGGTTTGGACGAATAGCTGATATCATGCTTAACAGAATTGGATGAAGATACCAAATTGACCAAATTTGGAAAATACAGGTTAATATGGTTTAATTAAGACTAGAAATACCATATTAGCACAAACTGGAAACTACATGGTTAACATGATTAAAACTGAAACTAGAGCCATGGTGAAATGTTCAGTAAACTACAAGGGACCTTGACAATCGTATACTCTTAAGAATGAGCGTGTTATATGAATAAAATTTATTCAACACAATCAAACATATGACATGATCAAGGAATGCAACATTAATACAATCTAACTGATATATGGGGGTATATTCTGATTTGGGGGATTACCAGGAAGATCTGATTTCAATCCAAACAGTTGCCAAAATATTTGAACATTCATTCTAAGAGATGGAAAGGGAGAGAACAAAAGGTCCTAATCAGCTATATTGCCGACATATGGATTCTCCAGTGACATTTTCTGGGCTTTTCTATTTCGTTTTCTTTTTATCAAAAACCCCACCACCCAAGATAAATTCTTATCTAACGAAGACTGTAGCCAAAACATCCAAGGCTCACCTACCACCCAGCTAGCTAGCAAACACACACCTAAAGGCTAAAAAGGATATGGTCTTTATCAAATCAGGTGTTAGGTGAGTCTTGGATGTTTTGGCTATAGTCTTCCTTTTTTTTCTGACATTCCACTAACATCAACATTATAAAGGTTTCTAACTGAACCATCTATATCGAAATGAGAGATTCCCAGGATGATCACTCACTGGTCGTAAGCTTTATTAACCAAGTGAGTGTTGCTAATACATATTCAAACACAAAGCTTACAAATGAAGGACAATACCAATTTTTCTGCGGTCCCAGGAGCACTCCACGCCACTGGATGGTCAGAGTGTTCAGCAAATCTTGACAACTGTGAACTACCAGGTCTTGTGTCTGCACTGCGAGGACGCAATGAGGTCAGTGTTGTCTGATTTGATGTCAAGGCCCCAGAAGCCGATGATGGCCTAGAATTTGAACCCCATGCATTAGAAGAAGGTTCATGCCCTTTGTCGCTACCAGCAGTTGATGGTCGAGTGCCACTTCCAGGTGAAAGGTGGCCACTGAGATGGCTTGGTGATGTGCCACCATCAGCTTTTGGGGACAATGATGACGAACCCCATGCATTTGATGCAGAAGATGATCTACTGCCCCAACTGAGGGTGCCCCTGCAATAGTTGAAATCAAGAATCACCTAGGTGATGCACTTGTACTAGTAGAAATAAAATATTACACACCGATCCCAACAGAAATTGGATTGGAGGGATGGAGGGAGGGAGGGAGAACTTACTTGGGAACGATTTCCACACTTGGGTCTGCACCATGATTTTCTAACCTTGAACAGTCAAGACAAGAAAAGAATTTTAGCCGAAAGACAAAGGACCACAATAAATTGATTTAAGGGTAGTTTAGTAGAAAGACATACCTCTTACTGGGCAAGTTTACGGGTTTTGGAACTTTCCCTAAAACAGTCATTCCACTTCTTCGGGAGGAAGTCGTCCTGCAACAGCAATGACAGAATTAAAAACCACCAGAGGATGTTGATATCTATGTGCGTGTCTGTCTCTGTATGTAAATCAGTTTTCCTAGAAAATCTCAATGCTTTTTCTTTAAATCTCCCAATATCGGACTACTCAAAAAACTTAAAACCAACAATTTCCGATGGCTGAAACATTGTGAATGTTGCCAGATTTTCATACCTCCGATCCCCAAACAACATACTCGATGTCATGTTTCAATTGTTGCCACACGATCATTCAAGCCAATTTATCAAAGCCTGGAAAAATAGAAGACAATTGAAGATTCCATCAGCATGACATTGCAGTAACTGAACCACGTAGTCAAATACAGCATAGTTTTCTTGACAAAAATAAAAATAAAGCACAGTTTTAGCAGGGTTAGCAAGTGACATAAGACGCCACAAAAACTCAAAATTATCATATCTTCTATGAATATTTTATAGTTCATGTTGCATGAAACATTTTTTTTTAGTGTTACAACTAAAAATTACAACATGACTACTTCCGGTGCATGTGTTTGCACCAACAAAGCACAAAGACGCAAACTTCATCCTTCTTAAGTAAGCCTCTGCTGTATGATCAATGCTAGGTCTTAAAATTTGTTACTCTTTTCTTAACCCTTTTTACAATAAAGCACTACTAAAGTTTGAGCAATTTATATAGCTTCGATCGCCAAACTAAACCTATCAAGTTTTCCATTCCAAAAAATGTACAGCACTGTTAAAGCGAGACCCAGTTTTCGACAACAACAAAAATTCCCTGACATCGAAAACATTTGTAGTAAACAATGGCCCAATACTATGATAAGAATCGATCCAACCATGACAATATCCGAAAAATCGTTCATCACTCAATGAAACAAATGATAAGCATATACCTAAAATGATTGGTAAACAGATACACACATATACATACTTAACAAAAAAGCACTGAATCCCACCACACGAATGCGTTCGCTTAGTTGGGCAACGAATCATGTGAAACGATAAGAACATTCCAGAACAAATTAAGCGTAGAAATTACAGTTTTCAATAGCAAATTCTAATTAATTTCATCCACTTTTTACAGATTTTCTATTCCCTTTATTTTCCGGGGAAACAAACAGGCCAAATTAGCATAAAATAATCGAGAAAATTAAATAACAATGACTTGCCTGGTAAAAAAATAGGTTTCTAAGAGGCTCGTGGAAACCCTAGGAAAGTTGATGTGGGTTTTGGGAGAGAATGAACGACCGAAACGCAGCGTTTAAGGGTTCGTGAGATCGCGAGGAAGGTTCGGAGAAACAGAGATCTCTGTGAGTTGGAAGAGAATCTGAGTGTGATCGGTTTCAGATCAAAGGAAGGCGAAGGGGAAGAGAGAGAGAGAGAAGGAGAAGAGGGGGGGAGAGAGAGAGAGAGAGAGAGGGAGATCGAGGATGTACGAGATGCAATCCGATAAATTGTAAATTTGTAAATACAGGAACTTCTCGCAAAATTAAATTTGAAATTTAGGGCTTTTCCAGAATTTTTTGGAATTTTTGTATGAGGAGTTTTAGGATTTTGGAGAACGTATGGGTTTGGTTTTTAGATGGACTGCAGCAATATCCAATTTCGTCTAATAATATCTCTACTAATTAATAAAATACTTATTGTTAACTAAAATTCTATAAAATTATCAGTTTAACTCTCTAATTAACTTTCTATCACTCTCTTCCTCTCTCCTTCTCTTATGTGTGCCCATATACTAGTTTCTAACTCAAAAAAGCACCAAGTGATGACTCTATTTTAATTGTTTCAAAAATCGAGAAGACTCACAAAGATATTTTAGTCTTTCTTTGCCGCATCGTGCGATTTACCAGCTCACATAATCGATTCAAGACGTGGTATGTGAAATATGAGTATGAAATAATCTCCAACTAATGTGTCGTTCTATGGTGATTGTGCTAGAAATCCTTGATAATTTGTGTTTTATAACTTCTTTTTTTTTTTTTGTTGAAAATGGGAAGAGTTCATTGTATTTTTGTTTTATCAAGTGATGTGGGACGGTTAAGAATGTCATTTTATATTATTAGTAGCGAGATTAGGTGTAAAATGTCCTTATCCTAATTGCTTTTGTTTTAGGATATTGAATGGAGGGTTGGGATCATAGGACTATCCCTTTCACAAGTAGATTTAGTCAATCCAACGACGCCAAAGAAAGTTTAGGTGACTCTAGTTCTTACTAAACAAAAAATAAACGAGCACAAGTGTTTGTTGCTCAATCAATTAAAAACATTCACTAACACATTCAAGTTTCGAAATTTATTTTCTCCACCATATCATTTATATAGAAAATGGCTTATACACTCGCTCCTAAAACTCAACTCAAGTATTACAGTTTACAGTCGATTGTTATTCATTTTTACTTATAAGTGAGAAGTTTTAAATTCGATTCTCGTCAAACGTGAATTTGAACCACATTAGTGCTAGTCTATTGTGGAGCTTAACTCACTCCTCCTTTTTTTAGTGTAGATTATATCGTCTATTAAAAAAAACCTCAACCAAAATAAGTGAGATCACGTCGACAAAAAGACAAATTAAACAGCCCGAACCCAATCGAACTAGAGAGTGGGTTGTATTGGGTTCGGGCCCAAACAGCGTTGAAAACCCATCGAAACCCGCACGCAGGTAGTTTATACGGTTGTATGCGACGGGAAGCTTGATGAATGTTTTGCAGCCGAAACCAGAAGCCAGGTAAACACTGCTTTGCTTTAATTTCTTTCAGGCATTTCTTTATTTGGGTGGATTGGATTGGATTCAGATCTCTTTCTTTCAATCATGTCATTTTCCACATAATTATATGCCTTTTTTTGCACGTCTCCTTTTTCGCCTACCTATCATTTTCTTCTGTGATGCCCATTTTAAGCAAACTACTTTTCCGATTTCTTGACAAAGATGGAAACTTTCTGGCTTTTGGCTAATCATGGCAGCTGGGTTTTTCATTCTGTGCTCTGTTTGGTATTTAGGATTGTCTGATTGAATCTGGCGAATTATCCAATCCAATCCTGGCATCGAACAAGGCATGACAGATTTGTTTGTTCAATGCTGATTTTGTAGGTTTTCGGCTCACTTTTTATTTACATACTGAAGTTTGCTTACTAAGCATGACCTTTTCTGCAGCTTTGCCTGGCTATTTTCAAATTTGTTTCATCGAATTGAGATCGCGAAAGTTATGTCGATTAGGTCACATTTGGTTGAATGGTTTTCGATTTGGGTTTGATTTTGATCAATTGAGTAGTAAGGAAGTAGGACATTGATTGGTTTACAACTTTAGACTATTGTGCTATCTCCTAGTTGACTTGTAACAATAACATTTAGGGCTCGTTTGGTGTCCGGGATTGGCTTGGATTGGATTGGATCGGATCATAATTCAAGGTATGTGTGAAGGTAGAGGTGAATGATTTTTCATTGATGGGATTAGAAGGGACTGAACATTAATTCGAAACTTATCTCTCTTCTAATCCTACAATCAGTGTATTTCGAAGTGGGGTTTGACGGAAAATTGAAGGTGAAGTGAGCGTGAAAGCGCTGTTCTTAAATTTGGGATGCATTTTTGTTAGTGATGCATCTATGGAACCCAAATCTCCTTCAAAACTTAAGCTCTCAATCATGGGATCTACTCAATATAAACAGGCATTTAAAACAAGTATTGTGATCATAGTTATAATGCTCTTGTTCTTTGGTGCGTATTTCGGATTTAACTCCACGAAAGGCCGTAGTGCATCTAAGGGGTCATACTTTACTGTGGTGGTTGATTGTGGAAGCACGGGTACCCGAGTTAACGTGTACGAGTGGCTGGTAACGGGTGTTAGTGGTAAGGAATTGCCTACATTGTTGTACTCTTATCCGGATAATTCAACTAAGGGTATGGTTTCGAAGAGCTGTAAGTATCACTGTCTGCAAACCGAGCCTGGTTTGGATAAATTTGTTGGAAACTTGTCAGGAGTAAGAGCGTCTTTGGAACCACTAATTACATTGGCTGAACATAAGGTTCCTTCCAAAAGACGCAGAGAGACTCCTATTTTTGTTCTAGCTACTGCTGGATTAAGGAGATTGGCAGTGGAGGATTCTAGGCAGGTCTTAGATGATATCGAATCTGTCCTAAAAGAATATTCTTTTTTGTACAAAAATAGTTGGATTAGGGTGTTGAGTGGCAAAGAAGAAGCTTATTATGGTTGGGTTGCTCTAAATTATAAAAGCCGTAGTTTTCAGAATCCTTCAAGGTCACCCACTTTGGGACTTCTTGACTTGGGAGGTTCATCATTGCAGGTTGTAGTGGAGACTGATGGTGCAAGAGAAGATGCAAACTTGCTGAGATCAAAATTTGGCTATGTTGAACATGAGATTTTAGCCTACTCATTGTCAGAATTCGGATTAAATGAAGCATTTGATCGGACAGTTGCTATGCTGAGCCAACGCAGAGAAAGTGCTGCAGGTGTATTAGAGATCAGACATCCTTGTCTTCGTACTGATGTGGTCCAAAACTATACATGCTATGGTTGTGTCCGACAAAATGGTGCTGATCAGAAAAATGTCATTGGCCAATTGCAAGAAACTAAATTTCCTTTGGTGCATCTGTTTGGAGCACCGGATTGGGAGCAATGCAGAACACTTGCTAGGGCTGCTGCTATCAATTCAAGCACATCTGATGCAGAACAAAGAACAAGGTCATGTTCTGATAATGGCAAGTACTCCTTTCATTCCCCACCAGCTACAAATTATTTTGTTTTCTCAAAATTTTGATCTTTATGCACTTTGACTCGACTCATTCAGTTAAACAAAGTCTTTCCTTTGTCGAAAAGTCACATACTTTCGCAGAGAAATGTATCTCAGAAAAAATTTACGTTCATTTGGGTGAAAGACGGGTCTCAGTTTGGCTGTTTGCATTCCCAAGTTCGAATTCCCCTTTTTTCGTTCATTACATCTTTATAACTCTATTTGCATTACTCTGTTTACTTTCTTTTTCCGTCTCATTGAAGTTGATTTTTAGGATTCATATCACTGTTGTAATTGATTCCCTGCTCATTGTCACAGGGAGTGAAATGGTGAATTTGACAGCCGTTGTTCACCCCACAGCTCGCTTTCACGCCTTATCTGGATTTTTCGCTGTTTATGACAAGTTGAATTTGAGTGGCCGAGCCACCTTGCCCAAGATATGGGAGAAAGGCCAGCAACTATGCTCCAAATCATGGTCTGACCAAACCAGCATCTCACAAAATGGTTATTTTGCTTGGCAATATTGTTTTCGGGTACCTTACATGGCATCACTCGTTGAGGATGCTCTGTGTCTTGGTGACAAAACAATCGTTTTTGGTCCTCCAGACGTTACTTGGACATTAGGAGCTGCCCTGGTCGAAGGAGAGTATTTATGGTCGAGTACAATTCGATCTCGGACTAGCATTTTGACCCTAAACATGGAGGTTGCATCCTCTCCCATTTTTGTACTTGTTTTACTTCTTTTCCTTCTGTTGGTTGTGTATTGTAGTCACGTCAAGCTGCCCATGATCGACAAGAAAGGTGCAGCTAGGGCATCTTTGCCAGTAAGAGAACAGAAGATGATGGATTAGATTTTACGTACTGTAAAAATTCTTTGATAAATACAGAAATTGTGATACATATGCTACATGCTTCTGTGTTAATGGATCACCGAAACTCAAAAGCACAACGCTTCTTGTCAATTGAAATTTGTTACATTGAAAGCCAGTTATATTTCTACAAAAAAACAAGTACTATAGTGCATCAAGTCAAAACTTGAGAGTAACATTTCTCAGTCTCTAAATTTAGCTGGCACCGTTGCTTCTGTAAAGTACTCCTTCCTGACGGTCTCCACGGAGCAAAACCTCACCTTCAAAAGACAATTTCAAATGAAATGAAAGCAGACAGATAACAAAAGACAATTACTTCAAATGAAATTGCAGAGAGTAGCGGTAGGGAGGATGCATCAGATTCACAATAGACACCTAATCACTTTCGTAACTTAATTGACAGCCCACATTGAAGAAAAAATTTAAGAACTCCGTAGTAGAAAACCTCAATAGTTTGCCTAACGTCACGGAGTAGAATAAACTTTCAGAAATTCATGGCTAAGCATGCTTCTGGTTTGTAACGCTACATCGGTTTTTTACTTGTTCCCCTTTTCTTTTTCTCTAACACAAATAGGTGGAGGAGTTTCTTAAAGCAAAACTTTCAAGAACTCTGTCGGATATCCTCTTCCTCTTAATAAGATATGCACATACTAAAGGTATCAAATTCGAATGTCGTTCCAGTACAGAACGCATTATGAAACTTCCTTTTGACCCAGAATAGGTTTTTTGAACAATATGGTACGTAGATATTCATCTTTGACTGCAATACATACCAGTGAAGAATACGATTTTAACAGTGGTTTGGCGAGCAGCCAAATTGGCTTGAATATAAACGGAGCTTCCACGAAGAGGACTTGGCCCAATCGCTTTGGATAATAGTAGTAGAAAATATCAAACTGCAAGAGATAAGGAATCAACTCACAATGGGCATCATATAATCGTCTTGACGGTTAATATGTAACTAATCGAGAAAATCTGATTAGCAGACCAAAGTTCTTTAATTATGATGCATGACAAGCAGAGGCGGCAACAAGAAAAACCGATAATTTCTTTAGAGTAAGTAGTCAAAGGAACAATCAGCAGGTGGCTCGTAAAGCTTACCAAAAATGTTATGAAATCTAAATCTGTATTTTCTCTACCAAACCCTCGTAGATCGAAGATTCCGAGTATTTCTTCGCTCCCTTCTGGAAGGGCACTCAACGCCTTCTCAATCAAAAACACGCAGAGCTTCTCATTCTCAACCGGGTCATGCACCTGTGGCACTTTTTGTACAGTTACCAATGTACCATACAAAACTTGATCTAGGCCAAAAGTGGCAAAAGATTGATCACAATTTTCGACATGGTGTGCAAACTAACACTATTTTGTTGATTAAAATTGGTATGTAACACCTCAAGAATATTAAGTTTATATGGTACGGAGTCGGACATGACCAAAAGAATAAAACTTACAGCAGGAAGATGCTTAGAAGCATCCACTATGAGAACTGGCCTGCCGTTAACATCGAGAAAGTCGTGTACATAAGCTTTTCCAGTTTCCGCTATACCCTTCACTGAATCTTGAGACAATTCGGACACTCTGAATTCTTGACGCCATTTCTATCACATGATTAGGGAAATACCAAAAAAGAAACTGTATTCATAATTACTTTTCCTGCTTAAGGTGTGAAAAATCTAAAAGGAACGAACTTTTCCAACGTAAAATGTAAGTGACTGAACATGTTCAAGCAACGACTAATGCAAATTATGCAATTGATTGAGCTAGCGAAGGATACAATTGCTTTATTCAATCTTTCAACAGCATCTTCGACCGAAAACTTGCGGTCCTTGAGAAACCAGAGGATCATATCCTCATCATCTCTTCCATTTTTCCCTACAGGAAGACTTCGATAATCCTTCTCAAGCTTCTCCTTCACTTCCACGACCAGCTGCAACTTCTCGAAGCACAGAAGATAAGAACAACCACAATTTTCTTATCAGCAATTCAAAATACAATGCAAGCAAAACCAATTCGAACAAGATTAAGAAACATACGAATCTGTTTTTATGCTCATCAAAATTCAAACTTGCATATCCATAATAATTTACAACTTTCCCAGTCACTTTCCCGCATTATCCGAGTATCCAAACAGAGTACAGAGTTCAGGATAATGTAAGAAACCCAAAGATTAAGAAACATAAAAAAAATTAAATCTTTATGCTCCCCAGAATGTGAATTAAAAAACCCAAATTTTAAAAATTCAAACTTGTATATCTAGGAATCATAATTCAAAACTCCAATCTTTCTGATCCACAAACTGTGAACCAAACATACAAACTTCAAAACTCAGCTGGCATATCTAATAACGATAATTTACAACTTTCTCAATCACTTTCTCACATTTTCTCAGAAACCAAACAGAACCCGAGTTAGTGGGAATTGCAGGTGCACTGACCTTGTGTGATTCGTTGACGTCTAAGCGGCAGCTCCGAACTGAGAAAGTGCGAACTGGGGAGGATTTAATTTGGTAGGAACAATTTGAGAGCACGGGAAGATGACGCAGGGGATTACAGATACTACGGAGCTCCATTTTCTCCGATTAAGTGGTCTCAAACCGCTGAATCCGATCGGGAATTTTGGTAGGAGGACGATGAGGGCATCTCACTGTGACGCCACGTAGCCCCAAAAAAAAAAAAACTAATGAAACACTTTGAAAATTTAAGTTTTAACTATAAGAACAGAATAAAAGATAAATAAATAGTAGCAGATTTGACTTTCTATTGTAAATATGTAATTTTTCATTAAAATAAACTTTATCTAAAGCTTTTTGTTAAAGTTTCAAAAAAAAAAAAAAGAAAAAAAAAAGCTATTTGTCCAAGAGGACTGGTTGGTAAATAGATTCAGAAGAGAAAGACATTAGGGCAGATGCCTTATGTTAAATTAGAGATAATTCATCCAGAATTATCTTCGTAATTATCGTTTGTATTACAAGAATATATAATCTTGATGCTTATATAATTATCGTTTGTATTAGAGGAATGTAATTTTCAATTGTAATTAGTGTAAAATTTCAATCTAAATAGAAATTGATATAACCTTATATATTGTAATACTTCACACAACTTAATACAAGGAATCATATTTCTACATGGTCTGATATCGATACATATAGTAAAAGTTAAATACAGATAACTACCCATTGTTTTGGGTGATTACAAATTGGCCATAACTATTTAAAACATTTTCAATAACTATTGTTTTAAAAATTTGACATTGATTAGGTCACATACGTTAAGTATGATGTTAACAAATATTGAAGTTGGTTTTCATTGATCGTCATTTTTTGGAGCTCTAGTCCCTAATTCGACACATTTAAGCCAAATTAAACTGCGAAAGTGATTAATTTGGGGACTCAAAGCTCTATAAATAATTGAGAGTTATAATGTGTTTTAATATTTGTCCACGTCATCACTTAACATTAGTGAACGTATGTTAAATTTTCAAAACGTTAAGTAGTTGTTTAGAATATTTTAAAAGGTTGGATCAATTTGGAATCACCTCTCCTTAACCCCAATATTAATCTTGATCATTAATAATAATATAGTAGCAAGCTGATAATCTGCCTAAGTTTTTTATACAAATATAATTCAACTTGATATCGATCGGTCACACAAGTTCAAGAAATAGGCTTGCTCTTGGATGCAGGCCAGCATCCTTGAGTGTGATCCCCATTTGATCAACTCCGTACACTTTTCTTGGGAAGCTTGATATCAATCTGTAGTTTCCTCCTATATCAGGAACACCCAATGAATCAATGTATCTGTAAACTGCCTGCAGTTTGTCTGTGCACAAGAAGCATTGCTCTCGTCTTTCGCCGTTCGGAAACCTTATCAGTATCCGGGCAGCCTGAGGATCTTGAGGATCAATGGCAGCCTCTCTAGTTTTTCCATGCTGTTGTTTGGCAGAATGGTTCTGAAGCCTCTCATGACTTGCTTTGTTTGGGGCTTCTGCTGGTTTATGAGGTCTAACAGCGGGAGGTAAATTCTTTAGTCTCTCCTTTTCCTGCAAGTAGGCAAGAATATGAGTTCCTCTAAGACTTTCTATTTGGTTTTGAGCTCCATTAAATTTTAAAACGCGTCAATTTTCCCTCTATCGTTACATTTTCTATTAGTTTCCCCACTTGAACGGACAAAAGTAAAACCGTAAGTTTAGGGGTGTTGCTGAAAATTTTCCTTTAATACAAAAGAAGTGTAAACAAACCTCGTCTATTTGTAGAGCTGCAAGATATGCTGCATCTTGTTCTTCCCTTAGACGGCGGTCTGCCATTATTTTCTCTGCCTTCTTGGCCTTTGAACTGCGAAACGCCAGCCCTTGTTCCTCCACCGTCCGCTGCAGAATCCCCACCAGCTCAGTTGGGGTAATTGGCCCTTCCATCTAAACTTGGACAGAGAAGAGAACAAAGAGAGTTGAAGTATCCCTATCATTAGTATTGGAAGTTGAAACTGTTGTTGTTACTAAAGAGAGAAACTTACCTGCAAAGGGAGTGTCACTGTGGCGGCATCTCAAGTGAATATGCATTATATATGATACGTTTTAATTAGCTTGTGTCACATGACATTGAGTCACTTAGGATACCGTCACAGTGACATCTCGTAGCAGGAAGTTCTGTTAATATAGGCATTGATGGATGCAAATTTGGGCATTCAATAATAAATCTAGAACTAATGGATGACAAGTTCATTCAAATCCTTCAAGTTTAAGGTTTCAATTAACCTGCTGCAACACTGCTATGTTATCACCAGCAACGGGAGCTATAATAGCACAGAATGGAAAGCAAGTAGGACGCAGAGTTGCAGCCATTTGAAGACCTTCCTCTCCATCTGCAATTGCTCCCCAGGAAACAAAGTTAGCATCAAGAAACTGCACCACCACCTCCGAAGACAGCGTCTCCCTACAGAAAGACGGTGTGAAAGGGTGTTCCGGTGAGTGGAGATAAATGAACAAGAACTTATGCTCATCTTCTGCCATCTTTAAGGCCTCCATAAAACTACACGCATAAAAGAACGGATGCATGGTGCCATACTGCTGCTCGAAGCTAGTTAGAAAAGAAGCCGATACTTCTGGAAGGATCAGAGGCTCTTCTGGATTCTGCATTGGAAAGTTTGATGGCAGGGTTTGAGTTCTTCTTCCTGATCCTATTCCTATGAGGTGTCTACCGTGCCCCACTGCTCTCGAAAATCCTCCCATAAGGCTTCTCGGAAGGCTTACCATCCGGCGAACTATCCCACTGCAAGAGGGCTCCGCTGCCGATCTTATGCCTTCCCTCATTGCCGACAATTGAAAGTTTCTTTTGTAATAAGACCAATTGAGACAGTCCTTAATTTTTTTTTATATACGAAAGACAGTTAATTACAACGAGAAGCCTATAGGGAAGCCATTACGAACATTATCAAACACGACAGCGGAGCTAATTGAGATATATGGTTGTTCAAAGTAGTTCAACAATCAATCAGTTCCATTGTTGCTTTATTAGATGAAAGTTCAACTGTAGAGATAAAAAGAGAATTGTTAAAGAATGTGAAGATGCTTCTTTTTTAGCGTCTACAAAGATGAAAGGAGAGGATTATGCTTTGCTTGTGATACAATCCACCGTTGAATGAGCAAGAGATTCATGCAATATGGAGCATCTCTATAGACTGTAACAGATTGGTCCATCTTTTAATCGATCCTTCCAGAGTCGAATTTGAAAGATTTGTTTTAGGTGATGCTATCTATACACCCATTTTTTACCTGTCACACATCCTTTTGGTCGTCAAATCGAAGGAATCGAAAAAAGATTGGATGACAGAAATTAACAAGAAGTGTGTGGGAGGTAAAAATGGGTGTATAGACAGCACCACCCTTTTATTTTTGGACGTAAAATTTCGAAAGAATTCATGCTTTTTGCACAAATGGATATTTCCTTAATTAAGGCCATTTCCACTGATTGTACAAATTAGTCTGTTTATTTTCAGAATCTGTTCTTCCATGAATGTTTCTTTCAATACCAATTTTTGAAAAACTCTAAAAATACCAAATACTTGAAAGCTGGAAAGTGAAGGGCGGCCACAATCTTGGAACAAAGATAAAAGTTAAAGTGAATATTATGTGCGACAATTTCGTTTTCACATATCTTGGAGCTTCCCTTTTTCCTTTATGCAAAACGAAAATGGGGTAGGGGGATTTGAAAACAGGAACTCGTAGTGATACATAAAAGTTCATAAAAAAAGGATAATGAGGAGTGTATACGAAGATGAAGACAGAACCTCAAATATAGGAGTAAAAGTTCTTAATAAAGAGTATTTGAAGACAGGACCTCGAATGAAGAGATAAAAAAATTTAACCGTTTGAGCTCTCCAAGCACATTGTAGAGCAAAGACAAAAGCTAAAGTGAATATTATGTGTAATGATTTTTGAAATTCAAATGTAGGACATTAAGTGCATGCGTATTTGAGTTTTTATTCACTTCAGCTAGGATCATCTTTTTTAGTTAGTCAATAAAGCACAACTGAAAACCTGTACCTATATATCATCATGGGTAGCCCTTTTCCCAGATTAGTATGATTATTAACTTCAAAATGTCAAGTTTAGCAACCGATAGTGGTTTTAGCACTTGAGTTGCTTGAGCACTTCCAGTCTTCCAGACCAGTTTTCTCAGAAGAATTCAAAGTTGGTCTTTCTTTCATTTTTTTTTTCTGGGTAAATCATGATGCTAAGAAATCTTTTTGACCTCCAAACCACAACCCATATTTTCTGTCAAACTTTTAATAAAATAAAAATAAAAACCCATATAAGTTCTAACATTTTGTGGCGATGGTGGCCACCCATGTGACTGTGATAGTCCCTACATTGTACAATTCCATCATACCTTTGAAGATTTAAAGTGTTTTCCTTTTAAAAAAGGCAAATAATTTCAACTTTTTCTTTCATATATATAAATAGTGTAAAATAGTGTAGCTCCTATACAAGATAAACATCACACGGTCACCACATTTATATCAGATTATGAATTTGTATGAACTATCACCATCTTCAACCTTCGAGGTAGGCACTAAGATATATATGCAGTGTAAAATAGAACCGCTCCTATACTAGATAAACATCACATCGTCACCACATTCATATCAATTTATGAATTTGTATGAACTATCACCATCTTCAACCTTCAAGGTAGGCACTAAGATATAATATATATATATATATAAGCTTACTCCTGCATTATGTTCTGCAGGCACTTCTCTTTTAAGACAAGATACTCATGCTTGGTAAGCAAGCATCGCATTCAGTACTTCACCCTAGCTTGCTAGTGCTTGTACTATATATGTCTCCTGAGCTAAAAATGGACTGTCTCATGATGGGTGCTGAAAAATTAGGTCAAGAAATTTGGTGAATTTGCCAATGGGATTTTTTTCAGTTTGTACCATTTTGGTTCATATATTTTCAATTTTTTTTTTTAAAAAAACATCATTCAAGTTACGTTGATAAAAAAACAACATTTAAGGTACAAATTGTTATACTATTACTCCAAGTGCACGTTTAAATCTCAAGTCAATATATGTTTTTTGATGTGACACTTGATGGACCTATCTTTTGCTAACATGAATGCTATGTTGATGATAGGTGGGTGATTTTTCATATTTAGAAGGTTAGAGTTTTCCCGTAATTCGCATTTTATTGGCCGGGCATCCATTTAAACAAACATTAAACTTTCCAAGTGCTATGACAACAAAACAAAAGTTAACTTGACAGCTAAATAGATGAAGGGATCAATGATATAACAATTTGTAACTTTAGAGTTTGTATTTTGCCAATATTTGGAAACATTGGGATCAAACTGAACCCAAATGTTGCATAATATAAGATTCCCTTCTCTTAACCTGCAATCTTAATCGTTGAATAATTATGATTATATTATATTGTTCTTTCATTCCTTAATAACTACATGTACACAATTCACAAGAGAATCTTCAATCTACCAGCTGGTGCGTGCCTTCTGCTATAAACAATACAAACAGCAGATGATGGAGACATTGAGTACAATTTTATATCATCCTAATCACACCAAGCTTGAAGAATTAGAGCAAATCTCAGCATAATCCGAGCTAGCAAGCCCCACGAAAAATTACATGGTAACTAATTGTCCTTTTGCCGGTTGGTGCTCGCTTTCAAAAAGCACGACAATGGCAGCCTTTCACTCCAAGTCAAGTGACACAGTATTATGCACCAGAAAAAAAAAAAGTTACAGTTTTATATAGTCTATGCCATGAAATGACATTAACTTTATGGATTACCAGCACAAATCACAAACCCTAAAATTATAGGATATAACCCACCCTAAGAGATCTTAATCTGTTCGATAACTTCAAAATTCAACATGTAAAATTTCAAAAAAAATGTATTCTTTTCACATAGATATATATAATATATATTTAAATTTGTAGCTGGAATCAATTCTGGGAGGCCTTTACAGAAGGGAGGGCCACGGAACTATTTAATGAGCGTGGTTTAGAGGGTGGACCAATATATATACATATTCTTCAAACTGGTTGCTGCAGAAGTTGTTGGGAGTGTGAGTGAGTGGAGGGTCTTTTCTGAAAAGAAGAGAGAATTTTAAAGAATGCATGGTGTATAATTAACAAACAGTGATAAGGAGTTGGGAGGGCCATTTGAAAGTGGCAAGCACCTTTGCTTGACCAGGACCTTAGAAGGATAGCCAAAGCGCAAAGGTCCCATACCTTTCTGCCTCCCACAAACTAGTGCCCTAGAGATTCAGATCTTCATATGGTATAATTACAAAATTACTAGGTCTAGGTAGGAATCTTTTAACTTTAATCGTAATTGGTAATCCTACCTTAAAATAAAAGGCGGTAATGACATATTTTCGGTATATCGTTAGGTCGAGTTACTGAGTTCACTTATGTCATGAGTATTTTTATTAGTATCGTATTCTAAAGTACAATCTGGTTAATTACTTCTAGTATAATTAAACATCAACTACTAACATTATGTGACGTTGGTATGATAAGACAAATAACTTCCAAGATTTTGAGCCTAATATGATTACACATTAGAGTGGTATATACATGTGGCCCTCAAGCTCTTATTATAGAGTTTAGATTATGTAATCTCTTGTGACATTAAGCTAGCAAAGGTATAGATGCGGATTGTTACTATTGGTCGTGTACATGCAAATGGGTGGATCATTATGTCTATGTTTTATGTGTTCTACAAGCATGAATGGTCAGAATCAACTCAATTTTACATGCGAAATTGATCCTAACATCTCCTTCCGCAAGTTAGGTCAATCACCAAAATTGAAGTTAGTTAGAATATCAATTCCAACAGTAATTCTGTTACCATTCTCTATTGGAGGGTTATTGGGATGTATCATATATGGCATCACAAATTGTCGGCATACTAGGCTTTTACATGCTTGACCTTTGGCGTCAGTTACTCAGATCAATAGATTATGATATCAATATATGGATTTCAGGATTGGACCCATCTAATCAATATGCACCGTGACCCATCTAATCAATATGCACCGTTTTCCTTGGTAAATTCTGCAATAAATTTGATCTGCCCTGGGTGAAGTAGATATTGACCCGGTGATTGTGGCTAGTTAGCAAATTCTACGTTCCTCTGCGGATACATATTCTACTTCATTTTATTACGTTGCAGATTAAATCATTTTTACTTTTATTAATTTAGCTGAGAGAAATTATATCGTTTGTAATAAAAAAAATTGTGACTAGTTAGTCAGAACTAGAATACTTTAATAAGCTTTGTCATCATTTTCTGTTTAAATTTTTTAAGTTTCTGTTTAGTTAAAAACTTGAAACTATATATATCATTGACTTTTTGAATTTTGGATGAATTTCAAAGCATTGACCATCCAGTAAACAAACAATAAGGCACACCAATTTAGCAAGTTAAGCGCTGAGAGAGCACAAGAACCACATGCTGCAGAATTTTTTCTCAAATTTTCACTTGATCTAACCAATTACAATACCATATTTTTTTCTTCTCTTTTCTGTCATAACTAATAAGTAATTCAGGAATCTTTTGATTACCAATAAGTCTTTGTAGTCAAAAGAAGTTATCCAATTGTAAAGTGGGAACTTATCTTTCTCTTTTTCTTTTTTTTTGTTGTTGTAGTTTTCATGGTCCAATTTGAATGATCAATATATAAGATTAAAGCACTAAGTGTTACTCGAGCGACAAACAGGGGTCCAGGCGATTTTATTAATTTTAATTAAATTTATTATATAGCATATTAAGAAATTTCTACTTATACTTAATTAGAATGACATATAGATTATAGAGCAGTAGAACATGTGGAAAACATGGGGAGATGGTGGGCAGCCACCTAGCGTCACGCTAGGCAAAAATTTTTAGAACAGTGTATAAGACACTTAAGAATGTAAGGTTGTTTGTGCATTCCAACTGTTCCACTTCCTAGTGGTAACTGGTGACAACACCACCATGATAGGTCATTTTGTTTATTGAATGCGCATGCAAAGTAAGTACAAAATGCTAAAATGAGCAATTAGGTGTAATAACAATCGCGTAAAATAACATTTGGATCCATGACATTTTTTTATATTCAAAACGGAAGTTTAAAAGTGCTTCCGACTATGAAACGGAGTTTTGAGAAGATTATTTGCGAAGCAACGACATTCTTTTAGCCAAAAAGAAAAGCATACAACCTGTAGGCCGTCACTTGCTAGCCATACTACTTGACTTAGCTCTCAAGCAGTCGCATATCTCACCATTCTGTAAATAAACCTGAACTTGAATCACCCGTATCTTTCTTGCCCCTCTTTGTGAAAAGAATTTAAAACATTTTTGACCAAAGCCCTAATAGTTAAAACTTGGGGAAGTACAGCCCCACCCATCTTCCCCTATTTTAAAATCCTCATGCTTGCAAATTTTTCTTAGGTGTCAGGACCACCAAAAACCAAGAAAAACGCAAGAATCTCTCTCCTCAGAAGTTGTAGAGAGAGAGAGAAAGGGGGAGAGAGAGGGAGTTGTTTATATGCTGGAAATGGTGAGGCAGTGAGTCAAGCGAACAACTTAGCTGGCTGGCAGTGGCAGCGGCAGACTCTCACATCTTTGATGGTTTCTTCTGTTTTGTAAGGACATGAAGGGAGTAGGAGAAGAAGGTTTTAATCCTAATCCACCACAACTTCCATGGACAAAACTGAGGAATGTGATATCCCACTACACAACAACAACTAGACAACCAGTCCAATGCAACCAAACACAAACTTCTGATTCCGTTTTTGTACCAAACAGTAGACAGAGACAGCAGCAACAACAACCTACTCCACTAATCAAACCCAAACATTCCTCTAAACTGGCTCCTCCTACTTATTCTCACACCTCCACCTCCTTCTCATTCGTCTCCATGCTTCTTGTTCTCTTACTTCTTGTTGCTTCTTCTTCTCTCTTTACTCCTGCATTGTCCCACCCAGTTGTCTCGGATTCCGGCCTACCGCGCCCCTCCCCGGCCAATCGGACTTTTCGGACCAGCTCGGAGATCAACAAGTTGAGGGGGTTCCAAGTCCAATCATATTTAAAGAAAATCAACAAGCCTGCTGTCAAGACTATTCAGGCATGGCATTTCCCTTTTCTTTGATAGTGATTTCTTTGCAAATCTTCATTTTCTTCTTGTCTGCAGTTTTCAGCTGGGAAGTGATTTTCGCACTTCTCTTTTTTTCCTTATGCACTCTTTATTGAATATAAACAAATAGAGAAGGACAAAATGTCATTCATAAGATTTGAAAATTATGCGCCGCTAGACTACATAGTTACAAACATTTTCTTGTTTTTGAGATTTCTTGATTGGCTTCTTGTTTATTTTTGACTGCAAACTAAGTGTCGTTAGACCAAACAGTCATTTACGTTTCTCATTGTTTTTGAGATTTAACGACGTGGAGTCTTGTTTTATTTCTTTTGCAGAGTCCAGATGGTGATGTGATAGATTGTGTTTTATCTCATCTCCAACCAGCTTTTGATCATCCTGAGCTCAAGGGGAAGAAGCCATTGGTAATTTCCACAACAGCCCTTCTCAATTTTGGGATATTTCTATTTGGGATGTGTTATCCACACATTTTTTTTTCAATTCATTTGATGCTGAAAATTAAAAGGATGTGTGAGAAGTAAAAAGAGGAGTGAGAATATCACACCTCTTCTATTTTTGTCAATTTTGGGATAATTAACTTGTAAATTTATGATTAAGGGACTAATTAGGACAATGATTTTACTTTTACAGGAGGAACCAGACAGGCCCAAAAGCCATAACAGCACAGATCAAGTAGGTGAGAGCTATCAGCTATGGACAGACTCAGGTGAATCATGTCCACAAGGAACAGTACCGATCCGGCGGACCGGAGAGAAAGACATTTTACGAGCAAGCTCCATCAGAAGATTCGGCAGAAAGCCGAGAAGACATGTGAGGAGAGACTCCTCAGGCAGTGGCCATGAGGTTAGTTTTTTTTTATTTTTTATTTCTTTTTTCTCTTGTTAATAACGACCCAATAAAGGATTAGACGAGTGAAACTGCACACTACGTATGCCATCGTACTATCAAAAGCAGCCTACTGTCATCTCGCTCGGAGCTATTAAATGGTGTCCAATAATTCAATGGTCAACGACTAATATGTTGACTTTATATTGGGTTGGATTTTTACAGCATGCAGTTGTGTTTGTAAATGGAGATCAGTACTATGGAGCAAAGGCCAGCATCAATGTGTGGACGCCACGTGTCACTGATCAGTATGAATTTAGTTTGTCTCAGATTTGGGTTATCTCTGGTTCTTTTGGCCATGATCTCAACACCATTGAAGCTGGATGGCAGGTTTGTCTTTTTCTTGGATTCTTAAAAAATTTAAGCGGAAATAGTCGTGTAGTCCTTCTCCCAATATCGCTTGTATAAAGTATTTATTAATTGCGAAATTTAACATTATCCTTTTTTTTTTTTTTTTTTTTTTTCAGGTTAGCCCAGAGTTGTATGGAGATAATTACCCAAGATTCTTTACATACTGGACAGTGAGTTTTATTAAAATTTTTAATTCAATTCTTCTTTTTTCTTCTGCATAGAGAAGAATACAGACATAAATTATGAGGAAATAAAGTATGATTAGTGCTAATTTTGTTGCTTAATATATAATTTCAGACAGATGCATATCAAGCAACTGGATGCTACAACTTGCTTTGCTCTGGATTTGTCCAAACAAATAATAAAATTGCAATTGGGGCAGCAATCTCCCCAAGGTCCTCTTATGGTAGCAGACAATTTGACATTGGCTTGATGGTTTGGAAGGTGAGTTTTTCAAGTCAATATTCAAATCCAAAAAAAACAACAAAAATAAACTCAAGTCAATAGATGATAAAAATATGGACATATTACTAGTTGATTTGGCTAAAGCGGTGTTTTTTTTTTTTTTTTTTTTTTATCGCTTAAGTTCCATACTTTTCGCAGTTTAGATAAATTTAGTCTTATGTATAATTTTTCCTATATGAAATTTGAATTTGTTACCTTCAGGTTTAAGGTAGCCAAAACAAGAAGTGTTTTTTTTCGCCAATTTTTCTTTAAAAAAAAAAAAAAAAAAACCTTTTTCGAATTTTTTTTTCATCTAGTCCACTTGTATAAACAACCTAGCCAAACATACCTTTCAATCGATCTATTTCTTTCTTATTTGAGAATATATTTACTCGTTACTCTTAAGTGATGATAATGTTTAGCACTTTATTTATGATGAGTTTAAATTTTAACATCTGTACGGTGAATAAATAAAGTATTACTTGAATGTGATAATAAAAATATTTTCATTTTTTCTATTTAAACAGTGAGATTCTTTCACTGCCCCAAGGTTTTTTCTATATTTAAAGAGTGAGATTCTTTCACTTCCCCAAGATCATCCCACACGTGTCAACTTTGCTGCTTTATTTAGAAGAAATTTTTAGTTGTGACGGAAATATAAATGATATTTCACATGTTTTAATAGGAGTGATGAGAAATTTTATTTTTTAAGTTATTAACTTTTTAGCACACATATCTCATTATTTGTATAATGATATAGTACAATTTTGTGTACCGACATTGAAAAATCTCTCCTTATTTAATGGGCATTTGTATTATTTACATGTTTATTCTCTCTCCTCCAACTGGCTTTGGAAGCTTTATCACACAAAATTGCAGTTTTATCCTGCATGTCGTTTTCTTTTTGCTTTTATTTTCTCTTTATGCACTCTTTTATAATTTTTCAAAATTTAAATTAGATAAATTAAAAGAGAATCGAAAGACAAGAAAAAAAGTATATTGGTGCAGCCATATAAGCCAAAAACTCATCATTACGTAGTCAAGGAAAACATTGCAAGACAAAAGAAGCTAAATTGATCACAACTATTTTTTGTTTAAAACAGAGTTAATCAACATGAAATCATGTATTTTTGGCAGGATCCAAAGCATGGACATTGGTGGCTAGAATTTGGAAATGGCCTACTGGTTGGATACTGGCCAGCATTCCTGTTCAGTCACCTGAGGAGCCATGCAAGCATGGTGCAATTTGGGGGTGAAATCGTAAATAGCAGATCTAGAGGGTACCACACATCGACACAAATGGGGAGTGGACAATTTGCAGAAGCAGGGTTTGGAAAAGCATCTTATTTCAGAAACTTGCAGGTTGTGGATTGGGATAACAATTTGCTCCCACTAGCAAATCTCCACCTCCAGGCTGATCACCCTAATTGTTATGATATAAGACAGGGAAGAAATAATGTGTGGGGAACTTACTTTTACTATGGAGGTCCTGGAAGAAATGTGAGGTGTCCATGAATATAATAACAGCATAGTAATTTTTGTTTATTTTTCTTATTTCTTGTGTTTAGGTATTTGATTATTTTTTCTTTATAGACCATATAGGAAGAGTTTCTTGTGTCTGGACGTCCGTATAGGGCACCAAACACAAAAGGACGAGTAAGACCAAGGGTGCTTTGGGTGTGTAGTTTGACTATCCACACTTGAGAATTTATCAACGGCAGAGTTTGTTCTTTGTTGTATTTTTACAGGTGTTTCTATATAAAAAAAGAAAAAAGAAAAAGTGTTGATAGTATTGCATGGGATCTAGGTCATAATTGGGAGAGTTTCTAGTGTCTAGACGTCCGTATAGGGCACCAGACACAAAAGTATAGTGAGACCAAAATACAAGGGGCATGGGGTGCTTTATGTGTGTAGTTTGGCCGTCCGCACTTAAGAATTTATCAACAACATGGTTTGTTGTATTTTGTAGTGTTTCTAAAAAAAAAAAAAAAAAAAAAAATGAGTGTTGACAATATTGCGTGGGATCTAGCCTCTAAGTCATTATAGGGAGAGTTTCTTTTGTCTGGACGTTTGTATAGGGCACCAGACACAAAAGAATGAGTGAGACCAACATACAAAGAGCATGGGGAGCTTTGTGTGTAGTTTGGCCGTTTGCACTCAAGAGTTTATCAACAATAGGGTTTGTTGTATTTTCCATTGTTTCTATATATATAAAAAAAATATATTGACAGTATTGTATGGTTCCATAGTGTCTTTCTATTTCTTTCTTCAAATTCTTTCCACATGACAGGAGAATACACCACCGAATATAAGGAAAGCAAAGCTGATAAATTAATAGACGGTTTGATAATCATTTCAGTCTCAAATTTAAAAAAAAAAAAGCGTGCGCAAAAATTATTTCTCTTGCAAAATCCACACTGCTTTTAAAAGTACAAAACTTTCTTCTTCCCAAGCAAATATAATGCATGATTTTTTTATGTATTTTATAGGTAAAGCAAATCCTTGTTCTAAGGCCAAAGCATGTGGGCAGCAACAAGGAAGCAAACAAGGAAGCAAAGTGTAAACAAATCCAGCACACGTAACCACTTAAACTACTTGGAACCTCTTTTCTACCATTATAATATTATATCCTAAGCTTTCGACATCTGCATGTAATTACAAGAATCTCAGTTTCCACACAACAACAACAACAACAATAATAATAAATAAATAAATTGTTGAAAGAAATTGGTGACATTAACATGTAGTTGTCAACCCCAATAAATATATAAAAAGCAGAAGTTTGCATTCCCAAGCCAGAGTTCAAATTTTCGGTGTCCAAAATTCGGTGCGACCTTTCTATCATTTATTTACTTGAGTGAGACGTGCTTTTTTTATTTATTTTGTTGAAAAGATAAGTTGAAGAATTAACTGTTAAGTGAAATTTAAATATATAATCATATGTCAGCAAATGAAATAGATCATAAAGAGATCACAAAAACTTTTGAGTGCAGAAGATTTAAACTCTCCCGACTAGTGGTCTTTTTTTATGGGTTGAAATGACCAGAGAGTGTACCACCTACCTGAGGATAGGGTGTTCAGTTTTGTAGGGACCGGCTTTTCTACCCTCCTACTTCTTATAAATTCTCATTTTTTTCTATTTTGTGCGATCACGGTTAAATCATATCAACATTTTATATTGATTTTTTTATATAGATAATAAGAGAAAAAACAATAATAATATAAAATATTGACGTGACCGCACAAATAAGAGAGGATAAGAGTGTATGAGAAATGAGAGGGCAAAGAAGCTAGGTCTGTTTTGTAGATGGAAACTACCTACCTACCTACCTAACTCCATACTTCTCAACCAATTCTTTCATCACATCACCATCTTTTTGTGCTTAAGCTTAGGAACAAGGATGTGACAAGGATTTTATGGGGGAAAGCATACTTTGGTCCATGTGGTTTGGGCAAAGTTCTAGTTCGATCTCAGGAGTTTCAATTGTCGCGATTTAAGTCTTATACGCTGTGTTTGATAGAAAATGTTAGTTTAGATGCAATAATTCATAAAATTCAAGGCACGTTGAATGAAAAAATAGATAACTTTTTAATTAGATAAGTTGAGGGTAGATGATAAATCACTGATGATAAAAAAATTATCCCTTCTAATCCTACAATTTTTGTAGTTTACGAATGACTTTTACTCTTGTTTTTTCATTTTCTACCTTTAGTTTAGACAAAATTTGAGGCATGGTGTACTAATTCTATGTTTTTTTCACACATTTACCCTCACACACTCATACACATGATAATTTTGTTAAAAAAACTTGACGGGTTTAAGCTATTATCAAATTACAACCATTAGTAAACTACATAACTTTATAAGGACCAAAGTGGAATTTCGACAAACTACAGATAACAAATCAATGTTTGGCCTACAATACATATATATATATATATATATCTATGTATGTATGTATGTATGTATGTATATGTAAAAGTAAAAGCACCAGAAGACCGCTTAACGTGAAAGCAAATAAAACAGGAGGAGAAGGAGACATTTCTTTTTAGCTTTTACTTTCTGGGGCATATGAATCATGAAATGCGTTAATAAGATTCAACACTTCCTATTTACCACATTTAAACATCATTAAAGTACGATGCAAGTAACAAAGTAAAGCAAGCTGAACTACTTAATCATCATTTGAACTTCATCCAAAAAGAAAATATGTACAGCGGTGCACGGAGGAAAAGAAAGTGATCGTTTAGTTAAGATGAAGATTCATAGAGTGATACCAGTGGATTCAGCGACTCGGTAGAGTTGTTCAAACTTCGAGTTGGCATGACCATTCTTGCCATTCGGATCCCACAACCGAAAATCAAACCTTCATAAATGAAAAGGGCAATTGTGCCGGAAGTTTAACAAACCCTCCTAAGCCGAAAAAGCAGCGCTGCAGGCAGATTTGTTCTTGGCGTTGAAGCAACACAAAAAAAGGTCAAGATGCACAGAACCAGTAGTTCACCATGGACATCTTGTAGCTGGATAACAATTCTCATGAAACTCTTTTCATTATACAATTTAGAGGGCGAAACATCTTCTGCAGTTTAAACATACATGAATTCCGCAACAGCATGCTCTATAAATTTAACAAGACCCTTGGCAGTACAGACTTGAGACCTACAAGTTCCTACAATGTCCATGTCCCTCATATCATCTAACCAAGCTTTCTTAGAAGGGAGAGTTCTATTCACTTACAACACCTTTTTGTCATTTTGATTAAAACTCAAAGTTTTCAAGCCTTTTTCATTAGTTTTCCTTTCTTAGTATCACAATTCCAGTCCGGTTGCATGTGTACCATCCCATATATACTTCCCAAATCAGTATTAAGTTTAAAGAACTCAGGATCAGTTAAGGTTTCCCGGAAATCCAAATGAAATCCATGACTTCCTGTCAGATCTTCAACAGATTTTATATTAGATGCAACTTTTTGAACAGTTGCAAGGTTGAAGGTGAAATTCTAAGCTATTGGGGATGAATTCCGAGTGTGATTTCCATTCTTTCTAGCAAGATAACGAAGTTGGATCAAGTTGGCCAAGGAGAACCGTGCAAGGAAGATTAAGAAATCACTGAAGTTCATGCCTGCATTAAAAAGAAACAATTAGCTAGTAGATTATGATTTTTCCTTTTCTTTTTCTAAAATCCTGAATTCCACCCCTCTTCCGGAAGCTAAGTTGATTATGCCATGTGCTTCGGACTAGCCACTGGGGAAGTTTAAACAAGCTTTAGGCTATTGCATGTAGACCTGCTAGAATATTAGGATAACCGTCTTCTACCGAGTTTAAGCTTTCTTCAGAAGTTTAAACTTTACCTGTATTAGCGGCAAGGTTGCGTTGGCAGAGACCTTCAAATCACATATATCCTTCATGTCTTCTATGTACTCCCTAGCCTCGTAGTACTCCCTCAAAAGCAAATCTCACTATAATTAAATAGATATAAATTAGTGCCATAGAACACTGGCATCGCCAATTTAACACGATATACTTGGCGTTGAACCAATTGTGGTTAATGGAAATTCTATCTTCCTGAAAGCATTACGAACACGAATAAGATGATAAATTTTATGATAGAATGGAACAACAAGCACAAAACAAACTTGAAGAAATACCAAATTATGGACTTGATGATACCATCTGCTCAGTACAAAGATAATCTCATTTGGTTCTTGAATGCGCTCCAACCAGATTGCCTGCTCAATAGAAGAATACACAATCTCAACACACGAAAAGCAGCAAAAATACAACTAGACAAGAGAAAACTTGAAGATATAGATTGATGATTTACCTTTGAAAAACCAGGAACATTAGTTTCGCTAACATCACCAGAGATATTATATACACAGCCTTTAGCTACAGAAAGAGAGAAGAGTAAGAGTTGGATAAGCAGAGAAATACATGCTTCTTTCATCAAAGCAATACAGTATCAAAACATCCCGACATAGATCTAACTGATCACTATTATTGCAGGTAAATGTAAACTTGCCTGCCAAACACAAGATGACTTTGAAAGGCGAGATCAAAATCCACCGCTTTTTGCCATACACATTCGCTGACCAGCTGTATGACCTGAAAACATCAGCATGAAGGGGAGTCTAAGTACCTGCATAAACCAAAGAAAGGGACAGCTAATCTCAAAAAGTTTGAGTCTGATCATATCTAAGACTAGAGAGCGAGAGAAAGAGAATGAACGTATCACTAATATTCTGTCACCTTTTGCTCCCATGTAAACAAAACGATAATCCGAGCAACTTATTTCATTATTTTTCTGAGTAAATATAGCAACATTTGGCTCATAGCTTCGTGACCTGAAGCCTCACTATGCTCCTGCATGGAGTCCCCGAGCCATTTCTCGACAAAGTCCGCAACGGTCATTTTCGTTCTCTTCTGATCTGTGAATTCTCTGGTACCACAATCTGCAATGACAAACTATCCCCTCACCTTAAATTGATCAAATACACAAAGCCTGAACCTTTTAAGCCATTAATTCTACTACAAACTACAGAAAACCAAGCAAAATAAAAAGGGTTGTGGGTTCTAATATCTAATTACCAAAATGCTAATCTTCTTAATTATGTTTAATTCCTCTTAACATACTTCTTAATCATGACAATCACACATCACCTTAAAATTACTTAGCATTGCAATATTACACCAAACATATTGAATCTTTAACTACAGAAAACAAAAAAGA